GCTGAATTCTGATTGGTTTATATTTACTACCGGCTAGCTTAAATATATCCGGCTGATATATTAAAGTGAGACTAGCTGCTTTCAAGGATGTCTCTGATCTTTGTAAAATTAATGATATTAAAATTTTCTATAAATACCAGCTGCTCCTGAAATATGATTTCATGTAATCTAAATAAAATGTTAATGATAACGTTGTAGTTGAATATAATGTTTTAAATATTATTGTATCAAGTTTACTATTAAAAGTCTCTTTTGCGTTGGCGAATATTATTTGCCAATTTATGAGAAGCTATGTATAATTCCATTCTTTTCAAGGAGATATAGATTCAAAATGATAAATGATGGTTTACAATCTGAAATTAAAGGAAAACACATGATTAATTAGATGAATGGCGACAAGAAGCTCCATCAAGGGAGGTAATCATAACATCATGATAGCGTTTATGTACATGGTTTAATATTTTTTTATATACATTGTGAAAAGATAACTCAATTTCTTTCAAATGGGCATTACTTATTTGACAAATTGAATAACAGAAGTGATGCAATGCCACTTCACTCTTTTGTGAAAAATCTTACTTTGATCATCACTAATTATTTAGATCTTGCCATCATTATTTTCCAAAGTATCGAAACTCCATTGTTTTAAAAATGTGATTTTAAGTTAGTTTATAACCTACTTTCAGAAAAAAACATGGTTGACAATTTTTATGGCCATGTATAAAATATTTTTTTCCGTATTAGATTGCAAACAAGGGAATAATAACGATGTTTTAAAAATAAAATAAAAATACTATTCATAAGATGGTATTTATTGAATATAGACATTGTTTAGGTTAATTTGCGGTTATATGAAACTCGAAAAGGACATATTGAATTAGATCCTTTTTCAGGTCAATATAACCACATGTTCACCGAAATAAAAGTCCCTGAGTGTTGTATTAGATACGAAATTATGCTGGTTTTATTTAAACAAAATGGAATATAACGATGTCGTCAAAAGAAAAGCTCTGTATTTTGCAGAAAGCATTGCGACGTTATAATTGAAGTGACCTCATAACAAAATATGGACATATTGTTCCTATATAATGTAATACTGGGATAATACAAAAACAAATCGTCGACCTCCTCGTGAGCATGATCCAGCCCATGTAGGAATGTAGGATTAAACTGTTGTCGTCTAATAACCACACAGTGATATAATTCGTTATCATCGTGTTATTTCTTTCATTTAATCCGGAATTTAACTGTTAAACATTTCAAAGGTAAACAAAATGAAGTCCTGTATTTTATTGACGTTATACCTTTCTGTTTGCTAAAAAGCACAAAACATAGCGAATGAAAAAACTATATGTGCACGAAAAGCGACAACACGATATTTGTATTCTGTTTAAATTTTTAAAGAGAACACATTAGACATACAGAAATAGACCAAGATAATCAATTCTACAATTAATATCCTTTTTAATTATTTGTATTCAAATTTCAGAGAATATTTCTGTGGGGAAAACAGCAACCCAAAGTAGTACCTATTCAGTTTTTGGAGCAAACAGGGCTGTTGATGGTTGTGAAAAACAAGCTTTCGGAAACGGTTGCTGTTCACATACAGGTGAAGGACAAAACGAAGCCTGGTGGCGTGTGGATTTAGGTCAGCGGAGTACCATTATAACCATCAAAATATTTTACAGAAGTGAGTACATCGGGCAAAAGTCTAACCAATTAATGATTTAACACGGGAGTAAGTCAATATCTAGTACAATTGTAATAGTCTTATCATGATTAATAAATGTTATTTGACACGAATGAGTCAATATCTAGAAATAGTCTATCATGATTAATAAATGTTATTTTACAGGAATGAGTCAATATCTAGAAATAGTCTATCATGATCATTTGTGATAATTTATGGGAATGAATCCATATCTAGAAATAGTCTTGCATAGAAATGAGTCAATATCTTGATAAAGTCTTCGCATGATCACTTTGAAGCATTGTATAGGAATGAGTCAATATTCAGTATAGTCTAATATAGGAATGCGTCATTATTTAGAAATATTCTTATATAGGAATGGGTCAATGTCGTGAAATGGTCTTATTATTATCACTTTCTGGTATTTTATGGGAATGATTCAATATCTAGAAATAGTCTTATCATTTTCACTTTGTGATATTTTATAGGAATGAGTCAATATCTAGAAATAGTCTTATCATTATCACTTTGTGATATTTTATAGGAATAAGTCCTTATCTAGAAAAATTCTTATCATTTTCACTCTGTGATATTTTATGGGAATAAGTCCATTTTAGAAATAGTCTTATCCTTATCGCTTTGTGATTTTTTTTATAAATATGAGTAAATATCTAGAAATAATCTTAGCATGATCACTTTGTGGTATTTTATGAGAATGAGTCCATATCTAGAAATAGTCTTATCATTATTACTTTGTGATATTTTATGGGAATGAGTCAATATCTAAAAAAAGACATATCATTATCACTTTGTGATATTTTATGGGAATGAGTCAATATCTAAAAAAAGACTTATCATTATCACTTTGTGATATTTTATGGGAATGAGTCCATATCTAAAAAAATCTTATCATTATCGCTTTGTGATTTTTTTTATAAATATAAGTAAATATCTAGAACTAGTCTAAGCATGATCACTTTGTGGTATTTTATGGGAATGAGTCAATATCTAGAAATAGTCTTATCATTATCACTTTGTGATATTTTATGGGAATGAATCCATATCTAGAAAACTTCTTATCAGTTTCACTCTGTGATATTTTATGGGAATAAGTCCATTTTAGAAATAGTCTTATCCTTATCGCTTTGTGATTTTTTTTTATAAATATGAGTAAATATCTAGAAATAATCTTAGCATGATCACTTTGTGGTATTTTATGGGAATGAGTCCATATCTAGAAATAGTCTTATCATTATTACTTTGTGATATTTTATGGAAATGAGTCAATATCTAAAAAAAGACTTATCATTATCACTTTGTGATATTTTATGGGAATGAGTCCATATCTAAAAAAATCTTATCATTATCGCTTTGTGATTTTTTATAAATATAAGTAAATATCTAGAACTTGTCTAAGCATGATCACTTTGTGGTATTTTATGGGAACGAGTCAATATCTAGAAATAGTCTTATCATTATCACTTTCTGGTATTTTATGGGAATGAGTCAAAATCCTGAAAAAGTCTTATCATCATGACTTTGTGATATTTTATGGGAATGAGTCAATATCTAGAAAACTTCTTATCATTTTCACTCGGTCCATTTTAGAAATAGTCTTATCATTATCACTATGTGATTTTTTATGGGAATGAGTCAATATCTAGAAAACTTCTTATCATTTTCACTTTGTGATATTTTATGGGAATGAGTCAATATCTTGAAATAGTCTTAGCATGATCACTTTGTGGTATTTTATGAGAATGAGTCCATATCTAGAAATAGTCTTATCATTATCTCTTTGTGATTTTTTTTGGGAATGAGTCCATAGTAGAAATAGTCTTATCATGATCACTTTGTGATTTCTTATGGGAATGAGTCAAAATCCTGAAAAAGTCTCATCATCATGACTTTGTGATATTTTTTGGGAATGAGTCATTATCTAGAATTGTTCTTATCATTATCATTTTGTGAAAATTATGGGAATGAGTCAAAATCCTGAAAAAGTCTTATCATCATGACTTTGTGATGTTTTATGGGAATGAGACCATATTTAGAAATAGTCTTATCATTATCGCTTTGTGATTTTTTATGGGAAGGAGTCAATATCTAGAAAACTTCTTATCATTTTCACTCGGGCCATTTTAGAAATAGTCTTATCATTATCTCTTTGTGATATTTTATGGGCATGAGTCAATATCCAGAAAAAGTCTAATACAGGAATGAGTCAATATCTAGAAATAGTCTTATCATTATCTCTTTGTGATATTTTATGGGAATGAGTCCATATTTAGAAATAGTCTTATCATTATCACTTTGTGATTTTTTATGGGAATGAGTCCATAGTAGAAATAGTCTTATATAGAAATGAGTCAATATCTTGAAATAGTCTTAGCATGATCACTGTGTAGCATTGTATAGGAATAAATCAATATTCAGTATAGTCTAATATAGGAATGAGTCATTATCTAGAAATGTTCTTATCCTTATCACTTTCTGGTATTTTATGGGAATGAGTTAATATCCAGAAATAGTCTAATACAGGAATGAGTCAATATCTAGAAATAGTCTTATCATGATAACTTTGTAGTATTGTATATGAATGAGTCAATATCTAGTAATATTCTTATCATTATCACTGAACTATCTTTTACATGGATGTATATTAATAGTCTTATTAATCAGTGATAATGTATAACATCCTTATTGTATTCATTGAATACTATACGATTTCATTGTTTGCTTTCCGATTCAAGATAATAATAAATTTTAAAAAAAATGTCACAATTCTGACAATTTAGCATTGGTGGAAATAACCAATAGACAAATAGTTGCATTTTTTTTTATTTAGTTCGTCAGCTATATCCAAAGCCATATACAAAACATGCCGCGTCACTAGTATAATTGCAAAGTCGCATATCCTTCATTATACTTGCTTTATATTGGTCTACAAAAGTTCCATTTATTGTAAAGCAAGCTAAAGTGCATTTCCTAACGAAAAAGATAACTAGCTACTTGAATTAAATTGAGCAACTTGTTAAGAATCCAATTGCAAATTCCAGCAGTGCAATTAAAGTGGGTTTTTTTTCTCTTTTTATTCTTCTTCTGTTTTTGTAGATTTACACGGATACCTACCGAACTGTTAGAAAATCATTTATCGGTCTTTATTATTATTATATCTGATAAAGAAGCAAACACATTATAAATGTATAGTTATTCGCTTTTCAGTTGTGTTATTGGTTTCTGTTGTATCGCATACGAAGTCTTAAGAATGCTTGTAATAGACAAAATTAAGTTATTAGTAAATAAAACAATGTCTATGTTTATAGATAATTTGCAAAGCCGATTTGCTGGCTACCACCTGTATCTGTCCAATACCACCGAGAACCCCACACAAGGCGTCCTCTGTTATGAGGACAAGAGTAGTACTGAAGCAGATGTAGAGTTGGTGGTGACACATCAGTGCCCGTATGTAGCTCGGTATGTGACCGTCTACAACTATAGGAACAACTCCAAACGGTACAACTGGTATGACAATAACGCATTCCTGGAACTTTGTGAAGTTGAAGTGTTTGGTAAGCTATAAATACTCGTTTCTGTCTACCCTTATTAAATGGTAACAACGTCATTTGAATATTTGTCTTAATGCCATTTAACTGATATCTTTAGTCATATTATTATTAAACGATCAATTATAAAGCGCAAGAGGCAAAAAAGACATATGCTTATTTTTATTGTCTTTAGCTACGTCATGGTAATCTTTTAAATTCATTATGCCTAATTTCCTTTCTAGAACATTGTATATACCATGGCGGTTGATAAAATATATTTTAATACGCATGTAAAAAATAAATAGCAATCTGCGCTTTCTTATGACATATATAACTGTTCTTGTGTTATTGAAATCAATCAGTAGGTATTTTAATATCAGTTTTATTTTGCCTATGAAGGATGTGTAGTAGGAAAATATGGAGCAAATAACTGTAGTCAGGCCTGTTCAGTGAATTGCTATGGCGGGAACTGTGATCCAACAGATGGGACCTGTTTCGGTAAGTCGATCTATTTGGTATTTATTTGGCTTTTTCGAGATATTTATCGTTTTGTAGAATTCTTTGAGCAGGACTTACTCAAGAAGTTCCTGACCGAGAAATGTTTAGTATGCCAATTACACTGTCACGGTTTATAACATTTTTTATTCCTAGACACTCTATTCATTTTTCAAGACAAAAATGAACTAATTACATAGTATAATAGGACAAATAACATCAACCATGAAGGAACATGTATTATTAAATTCCTATGGGGATGTTAAAGCATATCCCGTCGGCGTGATTGTCTCTAAAGGCTATTTATAATGAATAATCCGTCTTAAAAGGCTGTACCAAAAATAAATTTTCGACATTGTGGCTTCCATAATAATAATTGATATTCAGACACATTTATTATTGATTACAGTGTAACTTAGGAATTATTTTTCAGATTGTGTCCCGGGGCTTCACGGTGGCTTTTGTTCCTGCTCGGGTACATGTACACAAAATGAATGTGATGATTCAGAGTATTGCTCTGTTGAGTAACACACACTTATTCATTCTAGTTATCTAAGCTTATTATCAATATCAAAGACGGTAACTGTTTCACAGCCAAGAACAAACCGAAAAAAGTTAACACACTGAAGTTTTATTTAATAAAAGGAAAAATATATAAAAAAAATGTATGGGTGGTTAATCAGCAGAAGTGAGCGTCATAGTTATGACAATAATGAAGCCTGAACGTTTCATGACGTCGTTTTTAAATCTTCTAAACAACAATCAAAAATTATTTAAAAAAAGAAAATTATTAAGCAGTAGGCAATTTTTCGTAACAGTTCGTTCCTATAATGTAAGGGGATGCCACTTGCAAGACTACCGACGATTGAAAAATGGGGATTAGGGAAATTTGACTAACATGAACTGTTGTTTTTGTCACAGAATTTACAATAAAGCAAGAGATTCTATTTGGAATTAAAGCAATAAGATCATACGTTAATTAGTTAAACAGCAACACAACTAGGGGAGGTCACAACACGTATACAAAACTAGAGGCTCGTTTTTTCCCCTGTTCTGGTTGATGTGTTTTGCACGACTCTTGATTTTCAACTGTGCTATCATACATTGTCTCTATAATTGGCATATTTTTCTGTTTTCCCTATAATATTATAAAATAGCTACTTAACAAATTATTTTGTATTCTTTTGTTTATTATTTTTACGTTTTTCTTTGTATGAGATACATAAAAATATCATATAATTTCGATGCGCTATTTCTTTTTAACTATGCATGAGGAAAATAAAAACAAAAAATTAACAAACAAACAAAAAATTATCTGTTTTACTTTGTATGAGATAATGAAAAAAATTGAGAACTGAGATTTTACCTTATATTGAATAATCTGATTTACTTTCGTAGAGTGTATTCCAGGGACGTACGGCAATGTGTGTGAATACAGGTGTTCTACATATTGCGCAAACAACGAATGTTCTAAAGAAACGGGTCGATGTGTTGGTGAGGAGCTAATTACGCAATCATAACGGCATATATGCTGCAACAACTTAATACATTTTCTTTATACTTTTACATTTTTAAAAAATAATATCAGTGCTGTCGTTTTCACAATATCATTTTATCAGATGTAATTGTATAGTAATGCATGACCATTGTGAGTTTAAAGTCAAATGATACAAAATAAAAAAGTAAAATATCTATCATCCACTGTTTTAAAGTGATTAAAAAATGATAGCCTCCCTCCTCTCTTTTTTGAGAACATTACATAACATTTTAATGTTTCACTGACACTCATAGATAATATAAAAGCAAACTCGAAACATGTGCAATTCCATAACACTCGGTAACAAGGTCGATGTAATGTTTTTTTTATGTACCGTTACTCCGTTCGGAATATCCCTTCTTTATGTATCTTGGACATGTCACAGAAAAACTGTTGATATGTATTTCGTTATAACTAGATAATATTGCGGTTTTCAACTTGTTTGTCATAAGCATGATGTCGTACATGCGAAATATACAAAATCTAACAAAATAATAGGTACAATCAACACAATAATAAGTGTTTTAAATGGCAATAAAGGGCTGAATACATAAAAATGCTTTCACTTTGTAATCAACTGCAAATGGAGAGATTATTTAAAAAGTTAAAATAGTAATTCATTTACATACTACATTTATTGTGTTAACTTCTTACACTCTTGTCTGTCTCAGAATGCCCCCAGGGAAGATTCAATACAACGTGTCATACTGAGTGCCCCATCCACTGTGACGTCAACAATTGTACGAGAGAGGAAGGTTTTTGTTATTGTAGGTATAGCGTGTAATGTGTTTGGCATAGCATGCAAGCTTCTACGCATTCGTTCGTCGATACTTCCTTAATGATTTAAATTTTCGTTGCTTAATTAATCCTAATTATGTTTTTAATTTTGTCATTAAGGTACTTTAAATGGTTGAATTTAGGAATCAGTTACTAGGATATTTTTGATAAAGATAGTATTCGATTAATAAGAGCATTAATATGCTTGTATCACTAATTGCAGTCTATTTAGACCATGTACAATCATATAATCAATTAATATAATACTTTACCAAATCATCGCATGATAATTCTCTTAACATTAGTAAGAGTATAAAATGAAAACATAGGAGTGTATGTCCAATATACAACAACTGATGTCATCAAGAAGCTTAAAATATGTTTTATACCAATTATTTTTAATGTTAATGTATCTTTTTTAGATTGTGCTACAGGATATCACGGCAGTAGATGTGACCAGGAATGCTCCACAAACTGTAAAGACAGCCTCTGTGATATGGACACTGGTCACTGTTATGGTAAGAAAGTTGTACAGATTTTAATATTGAAGAAATTGCCAGTAATTCTATGAAATTTGAATTTAAATTAGTATACAGCATAAAGATGGTGTTCTCATGCAGAGTATATACCCCCAGTTAGAAAACAGGGTTTATGGTATAATCACTTTGTCAGTGCGTCCATCCTAGTATATCCTGTTGTACTTACTATTAACGTTGCGTGTACCTGCAATGCGTGATATTGTGTGTGAGCAGCATTATGCCGTTGATACAAAATAAAACAAAATCTTCAATACATTCAATTTAAAAGAAGTTTTATAAGTAATAAAAAGTGGTATATAAGGCGCTTTCTCAATGTAAGCAACTGCTAATGGAATGAAATATCTATTGAAATTGAAGTAGTAATCTTAACCTGTGTTTTTGGAATAAAGTATCTAATTGTTAAAAATACTTATACTATTGTGTGTCTCAGAATGCCTCAAAGGGAAGTACAATACAACATGTGATACCAACTGCCCCGTCCAGTGTGCTGTCAACAATTGTACCAGAGAGGAAGGCTTTTGTTACGGTAGGCATGCACTGTATATTCTCGGTATAGCTATGTTTTTGCATACGATATCGATTTGTTTTAAATATTCCATAATATTTAGACTTAAGCTTTTTAAATAAATCTAAGTTATCGTTTTAATTGATATTCATTATTGCATATTGTTTAATTGCGGAATCAATTAATAGATATATTATGATTAAATACAGTTTTTGATTGAAATGAATATTAATATTTTGATGTAACCAAGGAATATAATACTTTGCCAGATCATTCTCTTTGTATAAGATAACAACATAAAGTGAGGGGTTGTATGTCCAATACGCAATAGATATTTACCAGGAGTCTAATATCTGTGTTTTGCAAATTGTTCATCATTACAATACATCAATGTTTGATTTAAGAATGTGATCCAGGATATCATGGCAGTAGATGTGACCAGGAATGCTCCACAAACTGTAAAGACAGCCTCTGTGATATGGACACTGGTCACTGTTATGGTAAGAAAGTTCTACTTGAGGATTTATCTAACACTCGTTTCATTTCTTCAACGTATTTATGCAATTAATTGAGTCTTACTAAGTGATACTATTCATTTCCATGTTTATATGCGCTAAAACGGTATCGGTGTTGCCTGCCTCAGAAGACTGTCAACCACATCTGGAGTTACTGAACACTGTGACACTGTGACGAGAGATACTCTCTCGTCTGACTTAAATGTTTTTTTAAGCTCATGATTGCTATTCCCCTTACACGATGCTTGATGTTTGATTTTAGAATGTGCTCCAGGATATCATGGCAGTAGATGTGACCAGGAATGCTCCACAAACTGTAAAGACAGCCTCTCTGATATGGACACTGGTCACTGTTATGGTAAGAAAGTTGTACAGATTTTTATATTGAAGAAATTGCCAGTAATTCTATGAAATTTGAATTTAAATTAGTATACAGCATAAAGATGGTGTTCTCATACAGAGTATATACCCCCAGTTAGAAAACAGGGGTTATGGTATAATCACTTTGTCAGTGCGTCCATCCTAGTATATCCTATTGTACTTACTATTAACGTTGCGTGTACCTGCAATTCGTGATATTGTCTGTGAGCAGCATTATGCCGTTGATACAAAATAAAACAAAATCTTCAATACATTCAATTTAAAAGAAGTTTTATAAGTAATAAAAAGTGGTATATAAGGCGCTTTCTCAATGTAAGCAACTGCTAATGGAATGAAATATCTATTGAAATTTGAGTAGTAATCTTAACCTGTGTTTTTGGAATAGAGTATCTAATTGTTAAAAATACTAATACTATTGTGTGTCTCAGAATGCCTCAAAGGGAAGTACAATACAACATGTGATTCCAACTGCCCCTTCCAGTGTGCTGTCAACAATTGTACCAGAGAGGAAGGCTTTTGTTACGGTAGGCATGCACTGTATATTCTCGGTATAGCTATGTTTTTGCATACGATATCGATTTGTTTCAAATATTCCATAATATTTAGACTTAAGCTTTTTAAATAAATCTAAGTTATCGTTTTAATTGATATTCATTATTGCATATTGTTTAATTGCGGAATCAATTAATAGATATATTATGATTAAATACAGTTTTTGATTGAAATGAATATTAATATTTTGATGTAACCAAGGAATATAATACTTTGCCAGATCTTTCTCTTTGTATAACAACATAAAGTGAGGGGTTGTATGTCCAATACGCAATAGATATTTACCAGGAGTCTAATATCTATGTTTTGCAAACTGTTCATCATTACAATACATTAATGTTTGATTTAAGAATGTGATCCAGGATATCATGGCAGTAGATGTGACCAGGAATGCTCCACAAACTGTAAAGACAGCCTCTGTGATATGAACACTGGTCACTGTTATGGTAAGAAAGTTCTACTTGAGGATTTATCTAACACTCGTTTCATTTCTTCAAAGTATTTATGCAATTAATTGAGTCTTACTAAGTGATACTATTCATTTCCTTGTTTATATGCGCTAAAACGGTATCGGTGTTGCCTGCCTCAGAAGACTGTCAACCACATCTGGAGTTACTGAACACTGTGACACTGTGACGAGAGATACTCTCTCGCCTGACTTAAATGTTTTTTTAAGCTCATGATTGCTATTCCCCTTACACGATGCTTGGAATTTGGGATCAATCTTGGAATCTAAACTCTTGTAACTGCATTTCCAGTTAAATAAATTTGTAAATATTATGTATTCGCGGTCGTTAATTAGCGAAATCATACATACTAAAACTTCTGAATACTAAACAAACCGTCAGTTAGGAAGATGAAGGGGAGTTAACCACAGCAGTCATATGCATTTCAAAGTTGTAGTGACATAAATCATATGTGATCGGTGTTTAGATACATTTAAAAAGAAAATATATGAATAATGAACATCCATAGAAGATTGAAACGGAACATTTCGCTTGAATTTGCACAAATTTTCATTCATAATTTTCTGAACGCGTTTTCATGGGAAACGTTCACGACATTAGCACAAACTATTTTCATAACATCGTCAACACAACGTGAACTCCAAAAATAAATAAGATATTGCATAACAAATGGCTGCATGCTTGTAAAACGCTAGTATTACGCCATTCTACATTATGACAGAAACAAATCATAGTCTGACACATTTCTATATAGCAACAGTGTCAATAAATATATGATACGCCATTTAAGGTTAATATACCATTGCATCAGTAATTATCACAAAGAAGAAGTATATAGTCATTTTACGATTTTGGATTATTATCTCCTTTTTATTAACGATGATGCAGCAAAATGGGAGTTTTCTTGCTAAGAGCTACTTCCATTGTCAAGGTGTTAATATTTCATTTTGATGCTGATATCATTCCTAAATAGTAACATCTGTTTAGGTCCCGAGGTCGGCTCATGCAGCTTTTGTGTTTCATTCTTTAACTTTTATCCCTGTTTTCAAAACAAGAAATATTTAATATATGATGCTTCTGGAGAAAATTACTGAAATAATTATTTAATTTTAGTGATAAAGACAATAACATATATAATTAATTTGATCGTACTCTTTAGCTGAAGCTACAATTTATTGTTACATTCGACTGTTATAACGTTTAAAAAGGATGTTCTTTTTCTTTTTTTCTTGTGTTCCGCACTATTTTAAGCCTGCGAAGCCGGTCGATACGAAAGGAATTGCAGCCTGTTATGTGGTCAGTGCGACTTATGTACAATGGACTCGGGAGTATGCGAGACTGACTGTTATTCTGGATTCGAAGGACCTACGTGTGAATCGGGTATAATTACAATAATTAATCGTCAAACATATGTTAAAACGACTCGATCACGTACATGTAACACATAATCAAGGATATCTAGCTTTTGTTTATTTCAGTATGGAACTGTAATGTTATGGCATATATAGTCTATATGAATGTAATCCAATCTTGGTAAGGTTATCTATTGGCAGTGCCATAGAGTGGTATATATATGAGATTTAAGGTCGTTACAACATCCAGAAACAAGAGGAAACTCTTGTGATACACGAAGACCACTGAAAAAGCGGGAATCAGAATATAACCAGGTGGTCCGGAAGGGTAAGCGTCTTTTCCTACATCGACGACAACCGCCTTGTAAATAAGGTCTTACCCAAGCAATGCCACGTCCTCATTGCGAGAATGGGGCAATTGACGACAAAACACTGAAGCATTGACATTCATATCACATTAACACGTGAGAAGAAGACATATCTTTAATAACTTGCTTTGTAAGTCAGGATCTTTGTGAATCACTATGTACTCGACGAATGCACATATCTTTTGTTGAATTCTGAGGCTACCCCTTTTGATATGTACTTTTATTTACAATTAACCATAGCAAGTGAGGATCCTGTGGGCCCCGGACCAATTGCAGGAGCAGTGGGTGGTGCCTTTGTATTGATTATCATCATCGCAATCGTCCTATTTGTCATTATCAGAAGGTATTTATGTAACTTTTTTTATTACGTGGAAATAAATCCTGATTTTCTATAGATGTTTCATTTATTGTCAGTTTTCAACAGTAATTTTGTTGGGTCTTACCTGCTTTGAATACTGATATGGTCCCTTAGTGTTGACGCCCTTGTAGTTATTGTTCAATATTAATTAATGGTTATGACAACGAAAAACCCCCAAATCATGACCGTTCTGTTTATGAGGTTTTGCTTTCAAACGTTCTCTACACCCCTGGAAAATGTCACGACGAAATCGAAGGCTTTGTAAACGCCACCTTGTGCATTTTATAAATAGACTAGTTTGATCCGTTGATCGATTGTCGCTCGTCTGAAAGGATATTATCAGCCTAGCAACTTTGTCATGATATAGTCCAGGGATGAAGGGAATGGAACTTAAAGGAGCGTAGCCCATGGAAATTCGGTGAAATCCAAAGCTCTGATGTCTTAAAAACAGCTTCAACACATACGACGTAAAAATCCGCAGGAAAAAATAGTTGCCTGAAAGTGTAACATGTTCATGCATAACATATGACCCTCATTATGATTTCCTGTCAGAATGCCCATTTACTCTGTAAATAAACCCTGTCCGTTTCTGGATTTGATGGAAGTCATAAGAGCGCTTGCCATACATTGCACTAGAATCTACCAAAGGTATGCTTGGTGGAGATTATTACGAAATTTGTTGTTTAATTTGTTCACAGTTCCTTTGTGCCTTTCCCTGTTGAATATTCACTTGTGAAGATATTGTCATTGACAGCATGATAATGTATTCTTTTGACTAAATAAGTAAGTGAACTGTTATCGATATCAAAATTAAAAAAATAAATACTTTAGGAGGTATTTCGTTTTCCGAAAGACCTTATTTGTTTTGACTTTACCGTTTTTGCTGATTCTTCTTGCCACTGTTGTTTTAGAAGCATTTAACTACGCTTTATATCCGTTTTATACACTACCTCAACTGTCGATTTCGATAATAATTCACTTTCAATAAAGAGGTGGTTTAAGATTATGCTATTAAAGATGACGAACTATGTTTTTAATTCTGCATCAGGCGTAGACTGGATTCCAGTAGACAGCGGTCCTCTGCAAACATTGCCAGAAAGGAAATAGCTGAAAGCCATATCTACATCAATTCAATATCTGCGATCCGAGAAAGTAATTAATTTAATTTCTTATATTTGTTTTGTAGCACATTTGTATTTTCTATGTATTTTCTTTACCCTGTAAATACATATGTTTGTTTGTGTCATACTTTACTAATGAAAGTTGTGTCTGATTAAAAAATATACAATTATTTTCTATATGTGAAAAAGTGTCGGATGAAGATCCAGAAGAACCTTCCCAAAACAGCTGCAATGTTTACGTCAATACTGAAGAAGTAGTTAAAGATGGAAACACTTCAGATGTCGTCTACTGCAATTCTGGTGACCTAGGGGTTGCGGTTTCAGACCTCAAATCTTTGGTTAAATCTAAGATGCAAAACAAGGCGAAAGCTTTCAAGGACGAGTATGCGGTAAGTGTTATTTAAATTATGGTATCAGATCGTTTAAACACAATATGTAGGGGAGACCTTTGTTTTCAAATTCAAAGCATCGTTATGCAAGTTATGTGGAAAAGAAAGTGAATATCAGCATATGCAGTACTGTTAGAATACAGCAAATTAAAGGATCAAACCTGGTGCAGCAGTAAACGAACAGTAAATCAACACATAAAACAAACCAAACGAGAATCTCTATGCTAGACTGCAATCCCTATACCCTTGACACCATTCCGTGTAGACTATCAGCACATTTGATGCTAAATGGTAGATTATCGCACAACTCCAGGTTCATCAGAGCATATTTCTGAAGGGAGTTGCAAACTAATTCACTTATTATATTTAACAAATAAGGGCCTTTATTGAGGTGAATACGTGGTTATATTAACATGTGAAAGCGAAATTGACCGAGACGAAGTCAAGGCAAATATCACTTTTCAGGTCCATTTATCACATGATTATGGAAATAAAAGTCATGCATTGTTATATTAGATATGAAAGTATTACGCGTTATCACTAAGAAGACCAAGCTTTCATGTTAGTAAATCGTCAAGTGAAAAGTACTGCATTTTGCTGCGATCAATATATGATGTTACAATAGAGTGACGTTATAAAGTTAATATTGACCTGGTGTTTCTAAAACCATTAACATCGAGTCAATATCACAATTAACAGATCTCAATATGATTACGAATCAAATAATGAGGTTGTAGGAAAATTGTATCATCTAAAATTATTACCATGAAGGAAATGATATATGAAACAATGTATTTACTGAATTCATATGATTTCCAAGAAAAATAAAATCAATGTTATTATCTGTTACAGTCATTGCCATCAGGAGCACTACACGAACATGCAACGGGATTGCTATCGGAAAACAAGCCGAAAAATAGATTTAAGGCAACATATCCATGTAAGTAAGATCGTACAATATAGGAATTACCAGATGTATGTAATTGTACTAGCTAATGTTGTAACCGATCTGTATAACCTTAGTATTCAATATATTCAGTATAATTTCTCTTATTTTTATTCAGCTCAGATAGTTACATTTCTCTGATACTTCAGCTGATCTCAGTATTCAGAGATGATTTTTTATAGAATCTTATGTGGTAACTATCTCAATATTTAGAATTATTGAATGGCTCTCACGTTGTTACTGTACTTCAATATAAAGTGATTAATAAATTACTCTTATGTTTGTATCTTTACATCAGTATTCCGGTCATTAAATGACTGTTATGCTGAAGCCTCTTCTCAGTGTTCAGGGATTATCATATCTTTCTTATGTTGTAAATTTGCCTCAATATAAAGAGATTATTAAATGTCTCCTAAGTCGTAACTTTGCCTAAATATTAGGTAATCATTAAATTACACTTATGTTGTCACTTTGCCAAAAATAGTTAGAGATTATTAAATGACTCTTATGTATTGACTCTATCTCATTGTTCAGGGATAATAATATCTCTCTTATGTTGTAACTTCGCCTCAGTATTCAGAGACCATTGAATTCAATTAAATTAACATAATATGGGAACGTTTTTACTTTTTACATAGATGACCATTCAAGGGTGAAACTTGACACATTGGCGGAGGATCCGAACTCTGATTATATCAACGCTAACTACATTGATGTACGTATCACAGTAGTATTTGTATGGATAACTTAATATACAAATAGGCTGTACGACCTCCCTATCGATATATAGTCTGGGGTTTAGTATTGTGTTTGAAAATGCCAATACCTTGTTTTTGTAGAGAAACATGAAAACTATTTTCTTTATTTCTAATGTTGTTTGATTCTCTTGATGTCTTTTCACGCCGAATTCGACATTTTTATCATTGTATTGACGCTTGTACAAGTTTTACATTGTTCAGCTTTACTTGTTTGAAAGTACAACCAACTGAAAGTTGTAACAATAGCATTAACATACATTTCAATGCTACCCGTGTACTTTTCTAAAACGCCTCGAATGTCTTTCATGAACATTGAATCTGTGTCGTCACGTTCCTTCAGAGTATGACGCAGACTGCTGAATACATAGCCACACAAGGTAACATTATACTTTCATTATGTTTTTTTATTGACACAACTAGAAATTCAGTTTACCTTTTAGTTAGCCCGTTGGCTCCTGCTATCAACCGCTACTTCAATTGACAAAGAAACATGTCCTTAAATTGAAATTTATTATGCGAGATATCCTTTGTAAAAAAAATGAGTTCTATTGTTATATTTTTGTAAGTGAAGAAACTGAAACGATCAGAGAAAAATTCCCTATTCACCAACATGCTTTTAAATCTAAATATGATTTCTATGTAAAGAACTGTTCCTGACACAAACCACTTTTACGTACAACATACACATTTCAGTTTGGGATTTGATAGGGCGTATAGAAAAAATAATATCGTATAGAAAACTTTTTGATTTTATGAAAGGTCCAAGACCTGGAACCATTGACGATTTTTGGCTTATGATCTGGCAACAGCATTCCGGCAAAATCGTTATGCTTACCAATCTAGTCGAAGGAGCAAAGGTAAGAAGAAGATTAATCTTCTTGAAGAAAGAAAGGTCAAAAGAAAACAGCAATAAGACGGAGTGACGAGATATAATTAAAGGAAATCGAGGGCAATCCATATTTGATAAGGCAATCATGCACCTTTATGAGTTAATCTGGACTTTAAATGTCTTTAGAGTTTCATGCTGTACTTTGTGTAGGTTTTTCGGTGGTTTTTTTCACATACATAGATACACATCAAATATGGGTATCAGACTGAGTGAAAACCCCAGATGGTGTATTTTGGAAGAATTATAGTGAAGCAATGTTAGAAAGAAAGACAATAAAACAGAAACAGACAGACAGAAAAACTTCCAGAGGGAAGTGTTCCTGTCAAGGGATGTTCCTTTGTATAGGAGCTAGCCCCGGAGCGCCATAATTCTGACAGCGTTTTCAATACGCTAGATGGAAACATTTGAACTTGGAAAATATTTTTGCAGAATTAAAGACTTATTTTTGTGAATATGCTTTTACCTTTCATGTCAGCATTGATCTTCAAACATCATTCAATGTCTTTGTTTGAACTCTAGCCGAAGTGTTCCAAGTACTGGCCAGATGAAGAGGAACCTCTCTCAACACCACATTTTAACATCGTCCTAGACAGAAAGCGAGTCTACGCCTCCTATGTCATCCAGGATCTTACCATCACAGAAAAGAAGGTTATACTTTTTGTCAGAGTCATTTTGGAATTCCCTCTGCAAAGCTTGAATATCCCTTGCGGCATTTGACTCATACAAACCAGTCCGAATGTTGATTGGTTAACAAAACAGTATTACAAATTTTGTATTTTATCAACACAGACCCCTCTTCACCGCCAAATCTTGAACGTTAGCTATAAGAGATTAAGGCTTGGATATGGTTATTACCAAATTACGGAATACCAGCATTGTATATGCACGATTCTACAAGTATACAAGATACCTCCCATTGGTTGATCAGCACTTGCTACATTTCACCGCACTCTTCCTACAGATGAATACGTCATTCAGTTTGAAATATGTGCTTTAATCCTCCTGCAGATGTGGTATGCAATATTATAGAACCACGGCTATTTCAGATCTACAACCACATATTTGGAAAATCTACCGTGAATTTGGTTTAACGATATGCCTTAATTTGTTTCTATATCAATAGGTTGGTTGTATTTCATATGATCTCAAAATCAGATAATACATACTACTCGTTATATCAGCAGAAAGAGAGTCTAAACTGTCTTAAGTTCTATACCAACAAACATACAAACAATATTTTGTATCAGGTAATTTCAATGAAAGAGAGATTACAATACTGTATTTTAAAAATGCCTTTTCTATTCAGACTAAGTCAGAACGACAAATTCACCATTTTCACTTCACCACGTGGCCCGACCATGGAACACCGGACCTAACCGAAATTGTCGTATTTCATCGCCGCGTGAAACAATACGCAAGTTTCTTGACTGGAAAGGTGGTTGTACATTGCAGGTACAGTAAAACCATACACAAAATTAACGACATCAAAACTCCCTTTAATGAATGTCGCCTAAATATATACTGATGGAACTAATATTTAGCAAACCAGGCTGATATTGAAGCCTCGAGAACACCAATCCATCTGTTTGTAATAACTATGACAGTTACAATGTTTGTGATATAAATGGTAAATTATTTTAGTGCTGGAATTGGAAGAACGGGAACTTTTATTGCTCTGGACGCCCTGGTCAAGTATGGAAGAGACCACGGGAGGGTTGACGTTATGGGCTACATCAGAACTATGAGGAAAGACAGAATGAACATGGTTCAAACAAGTGTAAGTACATATATATCGATATGGTTTAACGCATTATACCAACTCCCACAACCACTGTAGGTCTTCCCACTCCCACAATCTCTATTGGTTTCCTCACTCCCACAACCACTATAGGTCTTCCCACAACCACTATAGGATTCCTCACTCCCACAACTATTACAGGTTTCCTCTCCCCCCCCCCCCAATCACTATTGGTTTCCTCACTCCCACAACTACTATAGGATTCCTCACTCCCACAACTATTACAGGTTTCCTCTCCCCCACAATCACTAATGGTTTCCTCACTCCCACAACCACTATAGGTTTCCTCGCTCCCACAAATATTATAGGTTTCCTATCTCCTATCTCATTGGATAAATCTACTAGGATTTGATTGACAGATTTGGTTTCCCACTAGTGGTAACACCCTTGACGTGATTCCGTTGCTCAATCTTCTATCAAAGATGTCAAGTAACAATGTTTTGCGACGTCAATTTCAATTATGACTTCATAGTTCATGGCACTTGTTTCCCCGATCGGAAACAGGAATAAATATTCCCAAAAGTAACATATGTTTTTTTAGATAAAATATCTGCACCCAAACTATTGATGGTTGGTAATCATGTCTATCAAAGTCCCCTAGATAGAATAATCATTTTAGTGTCTCATGTCATGTCATGGCAGTTCTGAGTGGTTGTACTGTTCAATTCACAGGTCCATCGTCTGTCGGTAGTACGTTTTGTTTTTCATTCCCATCTTTAAATCAAAATTTCAATATCCGTGATAAATGCTAAGTTAAAACCAAAAAGGAGTACAAATGACACATGTTTATTTAAAAAAATAATTAAGGTTATACCTTTGGCAAAAACAGAGTCATGTGACGAGGGTGTCTAATTAAAGTGGTGCCATTCAGTGGCATTTAAGAGTGTCCTCTAACGTTGATCTAAATCACAATCGTATACAATGAAGGAAGACATAAATAGGAAGACATTTGTTGATATGAATATGTGATTTCGAAACTTGATGTAAAATGTGATGCCATATGCTTTTATTGCAGGATCAATATATAGCGATACACCACATGTTGATTGAAGCCTTTGACATGCCAGATACTCTCATACCGAAAATGAGGTACCACACAACACTGGCCAGTCTTTCTAATGGGGCGCCTACACACCAGACAAAAATCAGAAAAGAGTACCAGGTATCAATACACGTTTTTTTATACGTTTGCAATAAAACTCCTTGAAATATTAATTATTTTCATAAAAATTAAATTACAATATTTGACATACACAACCAACTAGCATATCTATTGTATATAACATATCCTGAATAAATCTTTGGACTGATTCAATAATGTGTAATATGTGGAACCATTATGGCAACATGTAGTGGAAATGTTTAACATTAAATGATTTATTTTTCTTCACATATAGTTAACGCAAACCCTAAAACCAGCATACACGCAGGAGGACTTTGAAGGGGCTCTACTAGAAGAAAATAGGAATAAGAACTATACGATATCAGTTCTAGCAGGTAAGGTTTACATAAGTTTAGGGCAATTATACATGTAACGTTAGGAAAGAAAATTAAAAACAAATAGAAAATACCATTAACGTAACTCTGATTCAATAAGACAGTAACGAGATGATGTGAGTGAAGATTAAAATTAAGATGTATTTTGGTACAAATACCAATACGAGGTAATTATGCGTCACGAGGTCATTATCAAAATTAAGCACAATTTTATCATGGAATAAAAATATGATTGTAAACATAGTCTTGTATTTTCATTTTATATTTTACCAGTTGATAAATTCAGAGCATACCTGAAATCACAATCAAAGGAGAGGACGGATTACATCAATGCTGTAGTGGTGCCAGTAAATATATTCCTCTGTTTATACTCGATCACGTAGAAAACGACCATTTGCTTTTTAACATTAATGATAAATCGGAAAAACGATGGAAATTCACAGAACAATAATTGTTATATTTATTTACACTGCGTTTTACGTCGATGATGAGAAAAAATAATAAATATTTAAATAAATAAATATGAATAAAAGTTGAGTATAATCAACACCGGTATGGAATAATATCGTAGAATAATACATGGCAGCAACCAAATACCGACTGTACCTCTACCAAACTGTTGCAGTCATATTCTATTTACATTTTATTTCAAATAGTAGTTAGATCGTGTTAAAGGCTTATATATATAAGTATGGGTCATAGAAGAAATATTAACGGTTACATCCCAAATAACACTGGAGCCTTGAACACAAATATTAGCTATATTCTATTATATTTCTAATATTGCTTTTATGTAATGTATTTTTTTCTGTGTCTCAATGAAGGAGCGGATTCTCGGAAAAAATGACATCATATTGTTAGAATTACGTCCTTGTCACATAGATATATAAGACGATATCAATATATGTAAAAACAACAATTGGTTTGGTATTGATATCCCTGTTTAAGCAGGCCATACATTAAAATGATTTGTATATTTATCAACTCACCAGTCCTACACGTCCAGGACTGGATACATTGTCACCCAGACACCTTTGGAGGAGACTGTGGTTGATTTGTTGACAATGATGAAAGATAACTACTTTGAAACTATCGTCATCATAGAGAACGATTTCATAGTTAGTATATGTCTTTTTGTTTCTTGCATCAATGGACCACACAATTTTCTTTGTACTCTCCTGACAAGCAGAATATGTATCATATGCTGTAAATACATTTATCATACTAAAGAAAGAAAAAATAATCACATTTCAAAATCATTTTAATAAATCCTACACGTACTTAACATTTGAAAAGATGAAGCAGGGGCAGATCCTGATGATTACATATTAAGTACTTTTTCATATCATCATTGTATGTTTTTGCAATTAAAATTGTTTTTTATGATGTCATTTGAACATACTCTAAAAATGATGTTTACTTAACATACACCACTTGTCTTGTCTTATACAGAATTGGATGCCACCAGTAGATGAAGTAAAAACATTTGGAGAATTCACGTTACTCCTGGACAGAAAGTCGACATATATCGAAAATTTGGACTTGCTAGAAGTCACATTAGAACATCGGGTAAACTTTGCTCATTCAAAATTAGAATTATTTGGACAGTTAATATAAATTGATCATGTCAAATATTCTATATCAACTCTATCGATGATTTTATTCTTCCATGTTGCATTGGTATATGAAGCTATACCAATCGGCTTTTATAAATTACATACATAAAAATGCCTCTATTAAGCTACACATTGAACTCTTTTTTGGATATTATTCCAGCCTTTTAACTATGTCTACAAATAAATAGTGTTATCGTACCTCTACCTAGGGCCTAAGTAGTGTATAAATAATATCAATTTTGTAATTTTTCAGACTGACGATTTCTTACATAAAATATGTGTATTCCACCTGTCTGGCTGGGATAACCAATCGTCCGACGTACCGGAACAGTCATCCCTGCTACAGCTATTAGAGCTTGTCAACGGCAGACGGAAGTCGGACAAGTCGATACCGACATTGGTCATGTGCCGGTTTGTAACATGTTCAAGGCTTTGTGACTAATCCTTTACACGTGGTGTGGATTTAACGTTTTACAACATAAAGGTGTAGATGCAAGGAGAGAGATCGCCAAAATGATGAAATGGACAACATGAATGTAATTTGCATTTTAAATAATTAACTGACAATCATTGTAGAAACTTTGCAAAATTATGTGTTTTAGATAATAAGTAAAACAAAACGGAAGCAGTAATGTTGTGCAATATTTTTTGTTGGCGTCCTCTTTCTCCTCTTTAAGTGTATCTCACTTTCAATTTTTCGTCTGTTTATGTGCATATGTTGTTCGAATTTCATGTTCAGCTTTCAATTTCAGAGACGGGTATTCCCAGAGCGGAATGTTCTGCTGTATCAGTAATGCTAGAGAACAGTTGAAGATGGACGAAGAGGTCGACGTATTTCAGATTACTCGTCAGTTACTCGTGAGGCGTCCGGAATTCATCATAAATTTTGTAAATATATACATGTATTACCACTATTTTAGATAAGGATGAAATATATCTTTTTCTTGAAACTGTATTAAGGCCTTATTGGTTGATTAGAAAACCAAAGCAATTTATCAAATATTAAAAGCTACTTTTGTCAAATAGATAATACGTTGACAAATACTTACTGATTTTCTTATTTTATAAATTCAAAAGCTACTACCAGATATGGTTTGTTTTTATCATAATAGGTTATCTGGTTATTTATTGCTTTAATGAAATTGTACATACAGCTTAATGATCTTTCTAAATACTGTTGGCCGATTCATAATTTCGCATAATTATTTTTTAAAGGAACAATATCAGTGTGTCTACAGAATGATCAAGGAGTACCTGGACAGTACAGCTTTGTATATGAACTGACATAACCCAGTACCGGTGTTGCTACGTCATGATAAAGATGTGTCTATATCCAGGAGACACGCATATGAAATCTTTCTCGTTATTCTTACTACATGATCACGATTTATCTGGTTCCTAAACACGTGTTTATGAACTGACAATGTAGGACAAGTACCAGTTTAACACATGATGAAGAATTACCTGGATAACATAGACGCGTACTGTATGTGTACTGACATTGTAGGAGCTTAACAAGTGTTAAAGAAAATGGTCAAGGATTTCCTGGACACTGCAACGTGTTTCGTAACTAACATTGTAGGACACGTACCAATAAAACACATTAAGGGATTATCTGGACACAACAGACGTGTAAATTAGCTAGTAAGTTTGACATTGTCTAATAAACTCGCGTCTAGATTCAACTTCTAGCAGGTTTGTCCATTGAGACGGGATTGAAGAACCCTTTTGTGGTTATGGCAGATTTATTAACATTTTTGTTGCAGATCTATGAACCTAGCAGATGGGAATATTGTTTATGTCTTTCCACATTACAACACCTGGTTCGCGGATGCTTTCATTTCGGACGGTTAAATGTTGCTTTGAAAGAATTCCCCAAATAACCAATAATTGATGTGCACCTCACCATTCTTAGACGCTACATTTGAATAATTTTTGTGTTATGTAATAAATTTGAGACATTTTGACGAACCGTAATCTTTATTCTAAGACATTAGTTTTATTGAATGAATTCTTCAACAGGAAATTTAGAATATAATAATATTTTACAGAAGATTTGAAGATTGTGGAAGTATATTGCTAAGTTAAATGATAAATAAAATATAAACCTCTGAAATAATGAATAACATTTTATTTCCTGGAAATGTTGATTTTTGATGGTAAACGCGTTTCAAGAACCGTAAGAGTAGGCTTGATCTTACAAATGTTTCTTTTCGTGTCCAATATAGTATCGTTCGAAATTATCGGTAATATTTTGCGTACTATGACTATTAAAACTCGTCACGTGATACTTATTACGCTCTTTTATACTTGTCACTGTAAAGCGTTACAAACTTTTCTTTTAATGATGTTTTTGACGAAAAGGAATCAATCACTTCGGAGATTAAGATTATTGGAGCACAAATATTTGTATATAATCACCAGAATAAAGACGTAAAGAAAGCAGCATGGAAATGGTACTTGTTACATGTACCATAGTAAGTGGGATACACGAACTGGGAATTCATCGTTGTCTCATATTGACATCTTTACAGTGAGCTATTATAAATTACACTAGATATGATTACAGAAATTATCATCAAATTCAAAACATAGTGGTATATATATGAAGATTTTATGCTATATTCTTTCAATAACAAACATATAACAAAATATATTTATTATGATTTTAATATCTTGATTAGAGCAGAGACGTATAATACATATATTATACGTCTCTGATTAGAGGTTAAACACAAAAACACTTTTATTTACCTTCCCTTCTTCTCGATCGACAAATCAGACGAAGTGTTACAAATTACAAGGTTACTTTTATGTTATGTCAAATAATTAGTAACATGAACAGCAAAGCCAGCATTTTTTTGTTTACGTTATGAGGAGATGTTATTTTAATGTATCCGCTTAAATATATAAATTACTACAGAACAGAATGGAGCTAAAATTATAATAAAACAATTCGACAACTTGTACGTATTAGGACTCGCGGTGAGTGGGAAAAGTATTATGTATATCATGTCCAAAATACGAATCCATGTGGGTTATTTCTGAATATATGTCTCATGATTGGAAGGGTATTGAATTTTGTTCTACTTCGAGTGTAACGATGATAAATTCCATGCCTAAAAGCGTGAAAGAGAATAAAATACAGCAACCCATACATATATTGTTGAATAAACTGTAATGAACCTTGAAAATCGTATGTTTTGAATATGTGTACAGCATTGTGAAGTATACTACACCTGTTAAATCGTGTCGCGTTAAGGTCCCTTTAACAGCTTTGGTGTTTTTATTTTACAAATATTAAACATAAGACTGCACTACCCCATACTAACGCAGGACAAAGTGGGCGGTTTCAGCAAGATATCGTGGGCGTGGTCGAAAATACCGCACGATGATAAGAGAGTATATATCGGATGTCGTCTGCCCTTAAACATTAATTTGCATACCCGTACCTCCGTGTGAAATACCAAAGTGTATTACATATCTTACTGAGTGACTTCGGAGAATTTATGGTGAAATTTACTGAGGCAAAATGGGAAAAGAGGTAAGTCAAATATGTAAGACGGAGAAAGTTAAGTTTAAAGATATATTGCTTGGTCAAGATGTACGTCATGTCATGATTATATAGGTGTATTAAATTATAAAAAGTCGTAGTTGTCATGTGCAGAAATGTTGTTAAGAGAACGTATGCCTTTTCGTGATTGATGAACTGTACGTAAACTCTGGTATACATTATCGTGCAGAAATTTAGATGCCAATATTTCACGGTTTATTTAGGGAACTGTTTTGATTTCTTGCTTTATTTGAAGAATACAGTTAATGATTTATATCTTGCATTGTTTACATGAAAATATCTGATTGCAAATCACGGCATTGTATTTGACTGATATTACTATTCTTCACTGTGATAAAGAGGGGATAAAAAACAGTCACTAATTGAAAACAATTGTAGAAGTCAAGTTTAACATAATATCTTTGGCAAGTTGTATGTATCTCTCCAACTGAATTAAAATATAGACTTATAACAATTCATAAAACAAAACAAAACACGATATATACACCAAGGTGCATAGCTAAAGAATACCGATAAAATGCAATCAATACCCTGTATAGAATCCCAGACAGAATTCCCACCAGAAACCGAAGGCAAAACCATCTCTTACCATCATTCCAAGTTCAGACATAGCAAACGCTCCCAATGATCCGAAGGGAAACTTATCGGTGAATCTACAGAAATAAATGTTTTGTTGATCGATACCATTGCCTCCAATGACAGAGACCATTGCTGGAATACTTCTAAAAACGATCGAATATCAATATTGATAAAATACATATCATCCTGACGCCAATTAAGAAGTACACATACTCGGCTACCTAAATATCCCCAACAGAGTAGGTATTAACTAATAATCACCTTTTTTTTTTGTTATTTCTTGAGCATGGTGACCTTCAGTTGTATCGAATACTTTTGAGCAATTTGAGAATATCTCATAATAACTACATAATATGTAGTTTACAATGGTTATTGTTTTAATCGAAAATAAATACGTAAGACGGTTATATTCTCTTGATGGCAACCGAGTACGAGAATATTTTCAAGTATACATTATATTTTTTCCATACAAATATGCATGTCTTTGCTAAATGTAACCATGCAAAAGGACCCAGAAATAAGTTATGAACCGTATATAACTAGGTTTTGTTAGATATATAAATGTAATGGCCATGCCATATTAGTCTAATTTACCAGATTGCATGATTGCATTACCCATCTGAATAAACTATTAATGCATCTGTGCCTTTCATTCAGAAAACGATCTGTGTTATATTACATGTGAATAAGTTGCCATACAAAGAAGGTAAAACCAATGCCCTCATGTTATATAAGCCACTTAAATAATAGTTGATCGGCTCATTAATCCCAAAACACCTGACATTTTTGCGTCGTATATACCTTTCTTAAATTTCAGTTAAAGTGTTTTAAATACAAATGCCAAGAGTAATTTTATATGTTTACTTAAGTAGCTAACATATTCAACATGAGGATGGACTGAGCCAGACTTTGAAAATAATTTTAAATAATTCCTGAGCTGCGATTTGATAGAGAGATAACGCAAATTATTATATTTAAAAATAATGCTGAGAAATTACCTTTCAAGACTAATTATAAGTAGAAGAAACACTCCAGATGAATGGTATCGAGGAGTAACATGCAAGATTAATTTAACAGAAAAGTAACATTCATTCTAGACTATTTGTACACAGGTAAAGCATTCTATATTAACTATACAGAGACTTTACATTCCAGACTTACTATACTGAGAAGTTACATTCTAGATTTAAGAAACAGAGAAATAATTTTGAAGAGTATTTATATTAAGTAACATTCAAGACTAATTTATCAGAGGAGTAACATAAAAAAAAACATAACCGGAGGAGTAATAATCAAGACTGTTTGTATCGAAGAATAATATTGCAGATTAATTATACAAAGTAACAGTTCAAATCGATTATACAGATGAGTAACATTTCATATTGATTTTATCGAGGGGAAACAGCAAAGATGTCTGGTACCTAGTAAAATTCAAATTTAAGTGATAAATAACACACAGTGTAATTTGTAATTGAGTTTTTTTTTTAATATTGTTACTTATCATAAATCTTGCGATGTATTTTCAAGAATATATTATGGATGATTATTATCATTATATTGAATGATGCATTTATTCAATGTACAGATATTAAGCAATTAAAATGTATTCATAAGCAATTTACAAATCATTTCAATTAATAGAAATACAGGAATTATACATTATTTGTGATCCACCAACATTTTAGGAACAAAATATCATAAACTGCTCTAACAAAACTTCCAAACGAGATTTCATTTATAAAGAATACATAATAAAACAAAATTGATAAAACCTTCGAAAGATTCACAACTAGTGTTTCTTTTCACAAAAGTATACTTATATATCTTATAAACGACTATTGACAATACGGAACTTGTTAAATTGCATATATATTTTTATTTTGGAATAGAATTACTGATGATCGTATCAGAGCTTGGGGACGGCTCATTCGGGCGGTTGCTAGGACTAATTCATATTTAGTGTATACAAATGGATTTCTTCTCGCCATTGACTTCATTGTTCGGGTTTCATTTAGCGTGGCCAGTCAGGGTCGACAGTAGTCTGAACGTGTTATGTTTGGATTAATCAGACGGGACTTAGAAGCACACGAAGAGTACTGATAGCGACCCGGCCAACATTTTCTCATGCATCAATGAAAATATACGGTTACTGTCAAACCGAGATGTTAATGGAATGAGATTAAAAGACAAAAAAATCTAAAAAAAAACCACGAGAATCCGACCATTTAAGTAGCCTAAAAGTGGTAACCTAACTATCATGTGAAATACATAGATGAACCTTTCAAATCAATGAAAAACATAACATCTGAGTTTTTTCTCATTCTGATCAATCAAACATGTATCGTTAATTTAGTTTCTCTTATTTTAGTGCCTGAATCTAGCAGAATTTAAAAATGTCCTTTGATAGGCAATTACTTTACAAAGCAAACAATATCTTTATATAGATATGTAATTTCAAAGTTATTTTGAACAAATCAACGCTCAATTCGCTCGAGTTATTAGATAGGAAGTTCCATTTTCAAAGCAAGCAATACATGCACAACCATCGGCGAGAATTGCGTACTGATCTTCACTCATTCCTTCGTAAACAATAAGCTTAGACTACTTTGTTTTAATCTAAGCGGATCTCAGTTGTTTGATTAACCCAAAATTGCTTTTTCAAACTGTTTGGATGTAATACTAACCTAAATTCGATGACATGTAGCCTTGAGGATGTAAAAAAATAAAATGTTGAAATTAACTAAAACTCAAGTTGCTGCCGCAAAACTGCTGATATTTCCTTGTTTGCAAATCTCAAAATTAAAAAAGGAGGGGCCTTCCACGGAAAAGTGATAGGTACAGATGAAGAGTATTTTAATTCCTGTTAACTCGTCGAGATGATAAACTCGGACTTTTTGACATACTCAGTAGAAATTCCAAAGCAGTAATTAGAAATGTCCTGATACTCACACAAAATGTCGACCTGTTAATATGGACTCTAACTAAGAAATGAGAACGAAGTGACATTCGGAATTTCTTTTTTTATTTCAAAAAATCATGTAATATGTTATTAATTTGAAATTTCGGGATGCTATCCCCTAGTTGGAAAACCTCAAATTTCCTATTCGAATTGTTAAATTGGCGTCCACAATGATACAGCTAACCAAATGTCATGGCATCCAACTTTCGTATTTCTGTGTGTTTTATTCAGTTCAACATCATCAGAAGGTCGTCAAACTTCCGAGTTAATGAGATACTTCACTGTAAATAGGAGTTATAAACTGGGGCCAGTCAGTTCAATCTCATTACTTTGACGCCGATTTAAGAGTAGTTCACGATGTTTTTACATATGAAATAATCTTTCGTAATGTGCAACACTGTAACAAATAAACACGTGACAATATTTTATAATCTCAATGCATATCAAAACCCATCACACTATCTTATTTATTTTAATATAATCTTTATATGAAATTTGAAAAGATGATTGATGGATATTTTCCTGGTTGTATAAAGGTTTTTGGGAAAGCCCATACAAAAGCATTCGAGTTTCCATCAATCATTTTACGTGGTACTGTAAAATGTGTCCTCTAACGTAAACATCTCAGTCATTCAATTATGAATATTAATATAGAATAACGGCATGATTTTAGTTATGTTATCTAAATTCAAAACCTATTTTAAAAGTACACAGGAAACTGTACTTTTAAAGTGATCATAGAACAGGAATCAATAGAATCCATTACTCTTGTTTGATGTAAGCAACTCAGGCTAAGACTGTCTACACCCTCAGAAATGAGTGATAATTTTCTCCTAAACATTTTGAAAAATAAAACCCAACATCACGGGCGCACGAAATATGTCACGAAACTGATGACGATATCCTAGTACACTGCATAAAGTGATCAGGCGTTGGCGACGTTTTCAGAATAATAGCGCGTGTGAGCTGTATTTCCCTTGGTGGGTAAAGATATGATTATCATTCTCCTTACAAAATAGTAATGAAGCTGTGAGGTGTGGGGAAAAAAATGATTTCTTTATCTATTTCTATAAAATATATAAAACATGTATCATAGAAAACTATAATTTGTATAAATAAACAACATTTGATATAGTGCCCTATCTAGCTAACGTAAGCCACTCTAAAGCGCTTTACAGTACATAGACATACAATAAACCTAAACATAGTTTTCATCAAAAGAAGTATATGAAGTTTAATAAGAAAGTTCTATATAGCTGTGTTAAAGGCTAATGTTATCCCTTCCTCTTACTTCCTAAGGATTGGTGTTGTCGTAACACAATAGCGTTGCCATAAATGTCATCGTATTGGTTTTACCAATCCTTAACTCCCGTGTACGTTTCAGCGACGCTATATGCCTATGTCAACTCCTGGGACGTTTTTTTTTTTTTACCTTTCCGTTTGTCTCAAACGTATAACTAGCCGGGATATTGTTGTCTGATGCTCAACAAATTGTTGGGCGACGCAATGTTGTGGTTTCCCTTGCATAAGAAGGTAGATCAGTAGCCTTTCCTCTATCAACTTCGAGCATTCGAGTTTTCTGCAAAAATCAGTACCAGGAGAAAGCATACCACCAAATTTCACTTACTTTGGCTAGCGAGTAGTGAAGTTATAGGTCCAAAACGCATATGTGGTTTGTTTCGCTAGTATTAGTACAACATATGAACCTCGTGTGGTGTAAGCAGTTAAGTCACCTTGAGGGTAAAAGCTTCCAGCCTTGTTCTACATACTAAGTGACCTTATCCCGAGGGTAGCGATTTCTCTATCTAAATATATTTACATTTGTGCTGCAACCCGCTTTATGAACATTACCAGCAGAAATGCATTTCATTCGAGAATGAAAGCATAAAATCTCGTGACGAAATACGTCGTTTACTTTTGACGTCATAGATTAACTTTGAGAGTCAATGAGAGTATTGTCGCTTCGCTTCAGATAACATGGAGAATGCCCCTGCGACAAACGTTCAAATGACTACGGTTAATTATTGGCGCCATTTTTATTTAAATAACGCTGTTTCGCCAATGTCGCTGAAAGAACGACGCATAAACAAGACGCAGTAAATAAATATATTACATAAGAACAAATAGATAAAATGAAACAATTGTTCTGTAATAAAAATGTAAATATATGGATTGAACGGCGTTTTTTAATGTTCATACCGGTATGAACGCAAATCGGTTACATCCATATTCAACATGAAGCCCTTCATACATTATGGATATAACCGATTTGCGTTCACACCGGCATGAAAATTAAAAAACGCCGTTTAATCCCTATACCACTGAAGTGATGAATTTATGTCTCAAATCAGCATTATGACGCAGCTTTAAATTGTAAAGACAACGCAGGCCCTCTGCGCTCGAATGAAAGACAAACTTTAGTAATTTGGTTGCTGATGTAAGGAAGGTCAATACATGTTTATTAGTCATGTAACGTAACGTAAATTTATGTTTCAAATAGTTACTATCTCACACAAGCAAAAGTAACATTACAACACGAGTCTTATACATAATTTAATATCATACACATTTTAATATTTACTTTTGAAAAACCTTAACGACTATTCCTTTTGATTTACAATAATAATGGATATTTATTACTATTAGGAACAATAAGACATTAATTATTTAGGTTGGTGTTTTAAGTCGTCAGAACGGCTGAGGACATTCGACAACAAATTATTATGAAATTAACAAATTATGATAATACAATGTACACCCATACAATTTGTATGCCTGTCAAAACTGTGGTAATCCAATAATGTATGATAGACCTGTGTGGTACTAAGTGTATTATTACACTACGGCAGTAATATGACTCGACACTCGGGTGAGTATCAGGTTTAATAACACTGGTACCCTGAAACTACGGGCTATAAAATCTCAACGTATAGGGAACAGCAGAAATAAATCTCACAAAGCCATAAACTGACATGACAAAACGTAATTATTACAAAGCTAAGTTGCGAACACATGGCCAGGTTAGGAAATAATCAAATATACGAATGTATAAATCATTTCGACAATAAACTATTAAACAGCTTTATAGGGGAATCGTGAACATGTTTTGTATACTATTCTATATCTGATTTAGAGAGGGTATACAAACGGATGAACCTATGTCAAAAACTGATTGTGGTGTAGATAAGAAAAAAAGTTGTTTTCAAACATCGAAAACTGATTTCATAAATCTGTATGAAAAATACTAGCTGTTTTGGTTTTCTTAGATAGGTGCTTCATTTCTGTGTATTCTAGTGACGTTTTAACGTAACAAGGTGGTTTACTCTGCTAGTAAACAATTAGTCAATCAGTTTGGCAGTAAGCACCCTGTTAGCTTTACTTTATACTGCAGAGTTTTCATGAATTGGTAGTTAAGTATAAATCATCTGTTTCAATCTAAAACTTTTTTTTTATTTGCAACGTAATATGTCTTTTATGGGCGCCTTTTCCTTTACCGTTGTATTCTACATGTGTTTCAGAACACTGCAGGAACCTTTAAAAACACCTTTTGAAATTTTCCCTTAATGGGTGAAAAATTGCCAGATGGTCAAAAATGATAACTGTGTTTGTTTTTTTGCGTCTATAATATTTATCAAATAAATGCTTCCTTTTTTTCATATTTCTAGAAATAAATTAGCATCCCTTACTAATGATTTATCAACCAACATACTGCTTCACTTTTTATAAATTTATACATAGTCAAAAAAAATAACAACCTAAACATTAAACCACTCACTAAAAACTATATATCCAAGCACTGTCATACTTATTGATGACTTACACACTTAGAATTGATAACGACCCATACACTGTCGGACTTGATCCAAATTCAGTCATCATGAAAATATCCACACACTATCGGATTAGATAACGACTCATATGCTGTCGGACTTGATCCAAATTCAGTCATCATGAAAATATCCACACACTATCGGACTAGACTCATACGCTGCCAGACTTCAAAACAATCCACACACTCATATGTAGCAGCAATCTATTCGACGTCAGACTTGATAATAATTCTGGCACTATCAAACGAACAATCTGTAGACTCTAAAACTTGATAACAGTTCCGAATAGGTCAGATTTGATCGAGTAGCAAGTAACACTGTCAGACTTGATCGAGTAACAATTAACACTGTTAGACTTAATAGAAATCCACGTAATATCACACTTTCTAACAATCCTAACATTATCTGTTTAAATAACAAGCAAAGTAAAAACATTTAAAGTGTTAAAATATATTATTTTGATCAAAAATTTTGATTTAAGTATGAAAATGTCAAAACATTCTTTGGTACTTTTCAGATTTGGAACTTGCTTTGTATATTTGCCCTATTTGTAACTACGGTAAGTACAATATCAAATTACATAAAAATTGGCATATCATGATGACTTTCTTTTATTGTAATATTTCAAATAGTAACAGTCGTTCACACAGATTTGATGTAATATTAACAAGTAATTTGCACACGTTTGTTTTTGTAAGTATAAGCAATATTAAAAGTCATTCACACCAGTATGTTACGTTACATTAGTAGAGATAAAAGCTCTTAGTCCGAGTTGCTGAACCATTAGCAATAGGGCACGTTTAAATTTGTGGCAGCTCTAAATATTACAAAACACCTTGATCAGATCATTTCTGCAATTAGTGTTACAATAATTGCACTAAATTGTTTTTAATTGTACTAAGGATTGCCAAATACGTTTTTCACATCTTCTTCTGTATTATTAGCTTCCATACAAATAGTTTACAACAAATAATTTGAAGAGTTCTGGGATGAAGTGTAATTATTTTAAATAGAACATTTTAAATAATCTTAAATGACATATGTGATATAATAATAATATGATTTCCTTAACCTGTTCAAATATATATAATCAATGTGTTATCAATAACAAAGACAATGCTTGTGTCACTATTTAAAAATTCAAATCAGTATGTTTATTTCACGTTTTTTACTACTTGACAGCAAATACAGCCTATGAATTCACAAGAGGCAACTCAAACAGGTAACATATAATTAAAGTTATGTTGTTTCAAGTGGATTATTTGATCCTTAATCAATCTTTCTTATTTGTGATGCTTTGTTAGTTTATTGACATTGTATGACTATTGCTTTAAACTCAGTTATAACAGCTTCGTTAACTTAATTTAGAACCATTCAATTTTAGATTAATTTGCATTCCAACTCAATTCCAAAGAAAAAGCGAACATTTTTCCTGGCGGTCTCTTCTTACCAAAAAAATGTAAAAAAAAAAAAAAAAAAATGTGTGAGAAAACTGCGGTTTAAAGTAGGGTTGTGTACGAGAACAAACTAAACGTTTATACTTGTGTTTAACAAGTAAAAAGGCCTCTATGAAGAAAACGCAGTTAAGAGTCGATTTATCAGTGTCAATTGGTCAAAAAAGGTATGAAATATAACACCATTACAGATATCACAATACTAGAAAATAAATAGTTCTTAGTTTTCGACACTAAAATTGTCGGGTACATCTGTTTATGACAAAAATATATGCTAATGAAGGAATGTGGAGAAAATGTTGTTCTATGTGAGAGTACACTTGCAATTGTATACATCTTTTCCTCAAATTCACATTAATTTCAAATATCAGGTGCATTTCATTATTTTATTTGGATTTAATTGTATTATAATAGCTTTTAAATTCAGCGCTTCAAATTTGTAAGACATATTCTTACATACAACTCTATTTTTAATATTTTTTATGAAGTGTGTATTTTACGTTGCCTATTCATCAACCAATTGTAAATTTAGTTTTGATGGTAGGATTCAGTAGAGACAGAACCTGAAATACACGCCTTAAGCCCTAGTTCAACGGAATGTTATACTGGTAAAGCAGGGTGAAAACAAAACATTAGGGTGGATTTAATGAACAGGATGTAAATGTTTACTAACAAACTGGCCTTTAAATTGTACGCTATTTCAAATGTATTAAGAAAAATAAATCGCTAAATATATATTTTTTTTAGCAAATTTTACTTTTCTTGAATTCCTAGGGCATTAGGTGTAGTAAAAGTACACTTCATATTATGATACAACAAGTAGTTTAATGAAATCACTCAGTCGTACCTACATCGGACATTTAAATCTAACGTAAGTCAGTTTTTTCTGTTATTATATTGCCTTAGAATACATATCAAAGGTGTTATTTGTGAATTTGACGTGTGTAAATACGAACGTTGAGCGATGATTCACTCAGAATTTATAATATTCATTGTAATCATACAGAACGTGGCATTGGTAATATGAAAATTGTGTTCCGACGAAAATGAAGGTTATGTGTACTTTAGCTATTTATTAACGCTTCGATAAGTGATAAATGATTTTTGTATGTGATGTTTCTTATCATACGCGTTATATATGATAAATATCAACTGTAGGTTGATGAAGACTGAGTTTTATGGTCGCTTTCATGATCTCTTTGGGAATTCTGATATTTCTGCGTGTGCTTTGAAGGTCGATGTTTTTTTATTATGATTATAAGTGTCCTTTGTTGTTTCGTTGTTACTACCCTGGTTCTCGCTATGAGGACGTGAAATTACCTTGAGTTGACCTAGATTTACAAGAGGGTTTTTAGTCGATGAAGCAGAAGACGCTTACCCTTCTTGATCACCTGGTCCTATTCTGCTTGTTCTGCTCTTTCTAGGGTCGCCATGAAATCTTTCCATTGTTCTTGTTTTGCCCTAAATTGATCGGCTATGAGTTCGAAAAACGGCTCAGTTGACACTAAAGTATTATCTTGTAGTTGCTTCAGAGTATTCTACATTGGTATGAAGTGGCGTATTTAATATATATTAGTGCACGAGATTGTAAACATTATATACGTTGGTTATTATTTGATCATATTTTGCATAGACACTCTTAGTTTTGAAGATTACACTTAGCATCACGACGTAAATCAGGCGGGCATCCATTCCAACATTTAAATGAAAATGAGGCAGTAAACGACTTCGTCTTATTGAGAGAGAAAAAAGTAAAAGATAACAGATCACCCTCATATAGCTGCAATTTTAACATTTTATCCCTTTTGAGTGAAGGTAAGGATCATACTTTACTCATTAATTTGTTAATTGTTTAATTTGATATTATCCACTACTCCTCTAATTTTTGAAATTAATATACTTAAAAAGATGTTATGCACCTCCCCTTCTGTTTCAACAGTAGTTTAGACCGATTTGAGTTTCCGACTTTTTAGCTCTAAGCATCATGGATGAGTCCTAGAAGGACAACACAGCCGTATGATGAAGTGTAAATCATGTTTGTCGACTGTATCAATTATCGTGTGATTTGTAGGTGCAACCACTAGTGTGTCTTATGTGCAAATAATCCTGTAGGCTTTAATCGAAAATTCGAAAATGATTGAATTCGAGATTAAGAGGATATTCCAAATCATATTGTGATCATCAAAATATTACATTGGCTATATATGTGTCACTTACACATTTTTTTCCTTTTATTTACAGCCAGTTACCTGTGTTTTGAAGATCAGCAAAATAGTAGTCTTATACACCTAGATTTTATACTAGACCGTAAAACTGATGTTGTAACGTCAGTTTATGCAAATGAGTTTCAAAACTGCGTGGGATCTAGCCAAGATGGCGGACAGACATACATAGTTCGAGTGACGTTCTCAATTAACAGTGGAACACAATTATCTCCGTCACAACCTTGTGGAATGACGATTGTAAGTATACAATTATAGTCTATATATGTAACAATTACTTTATTTATTTGTAAATTGACGAACAAATTTGTTTAAAAAAAGACAATTATTTTAGGGACAGGAATTTAGCATAATGGTAATTATCAAAATTAATTTTAAGAAGTCTGTCAAGAATGTTCAGTACAGCCGTGCTCCTGCTAAGCGTTCTTTTGATTCAGTATGTTACCTGCAATTGCACTGCTTCATGAATTTTGATGTTTCGTTTTATATTTCAGACATCAGATGGATCCTATCAGCTTAATATGCGTTCCGAGGCTAGCAGTGGTCTTGTTTCCTACACAGATAGAATTTATGACTTTAAGTGTCATCCAACTAGAGGTATCAGTCCCTGGGCGACAACTTCCGGTATAAGTGTTGGGTATGTCACACTACAACTTCCGGTATTAGTGTTGTGTATGATAGACAACTTTCCGTAAAAGTGCCATTACCAAGTTATTTCTGATAACTTGTGGTATAAGTGTAGGGTACATGGGACAACTTCCGTCACTAGCGTTGGATAGGTCAAACATCTTCCTGTGTTTTATTTTGGTCCTTAATAAGTGTATATGACGTTTATTTCAGAAGTGTTGACCTACTGAACCTAACCGGCTCAAGGACGACAGAACTACAAGTTGTGTCCGCCAGTGACACGAGTAGTCTTGTGTTGTTTGCTAATCTTGGAGACCTTGTGCGATTTAAATTTAGGATGACCTTCACCAGTGCAATAGGTAAGCAAACTTACGCCGACATCTTAGTCGCTTATTTAAATCCAAAAAAACATACAGAATTGTGGTCATTTGCAATGGTAATAGCTGAAACACTACACCAATTTGAACTCTGATACTTGGCAGTATCAGCTGAAGTTTAATACAATCACACCCACCATGATCACATTAAGCTTAACGTGATGACATTAAGACTACTTCAAGCTTATCGCAGTTATAAATGTTAAATTTGTTAAAGTCTAATACAATTCCAGCCAGATCACCCAGATCACATAAAGCGTAATACAATTCTACCCAGATCACCCAGAGCACATAAAGCGTAATACAATTCCACCCAGATCACCCAGATCACATAAAGCGTAATACAAGTCCACCCAGATCACCCAGATCATATAAAGCCTAATACAATTCCACCCAGATCACTCAGATCACATAAAGCGTAATACAATTCCACCCAGATCACATAAAGCGTAATACAATTCCACCCAGATCACTCAGATCACATAAAGCGTAATACAATTCTACCCAGATCACCCAGATCACATAAAGCGTAATACAATTCTACCCAGATCACCCAGATCACATAAAGCGTAATACAATTACACCCAGATCACTCAGATCACATACAGCGTAATACAATTCCACCCAGATCACTCAGATCACATCAACCTTAATACAATTACACCGCGTTCACTTCAAGCAACAAAGTTTTCAATTGCATGAACTAAGATCACATATAATGCAAACCCCTGTGAAGCATGAAAACCTTACGTGCTAGTTTATGTTATAGAAGGACATCATTAGGTTATTAAGCCAATATTTTCTTGACATACCTTTATTTTTAATTCAATATGAATATTATCTTTAATTTGTATTGTTGTTCATAATAATGTTCATGTATTACCCAATTTGTTTTATTAAAGAGTTAATGGGGGTTTCTTCATAATTACATTGAAAAAGTCGCAGTGTCAGTTCGCAAGAACATTAATTTCGAAGTAACTGAAAAAAATTGGGCTTCTGCTTAAGCCTAAAGGATACTTTTCATTCCAGAAAATATAGACGTGCTAGGTGTTCGACTAACGAATCTCATCTGTTCGCCCTCTGATACATTCACGCCGAAACGGAGGATACTTATAGACGACAACGGGTATATGGAAGTAATATGTAATTTGCAAACGTTATAAATATATGTTAACAATAAGCAATATTTATCATCTTATTATTCGGATTACTTATATGGCTGACATCACGTTTAACTCATTAATAGGGTTTTTTAAACTAATTTCACAATGAAATATCTTTTATATCATGCCATAAACTTAAACCTTACTTCCTTTTGGAAAATCGAGATTATGTTTTGGTACAGAAAAAAGACGGTGTGGTTAATTAATAAATGGCTTAGAAAATCCAAATGAAGTTGACTACAGAGAAAGGTTAAATTTGGAATTTAATGGGTTAGGAAATGCAAATCATATGTTCGGTTAAAGAAAGGCTACATTTTTATTTATGAATGGGTCTTAGAAAAAATCAGATGCACATTTTGTTTGATTATGAATAACATCTAATTCACTTGTTAAAACCCGTATATTGTATTTAAGGATGATATTAACTCTATATTTGTCATTTATATAAGGTAGACGGCATCTAACACTTATGCTTGACGTAAACATAATCAATATTTTCTCCACTCATCGACTAATATATTCATCCCCACATTTACAGGTGTGCTGTCAACTACACAGAGAATGCCTTAGCACTATCAGGGCCCTTCACTACAGAATCTAATGGGTCATCGCCATTCATAGCACTGTCGCCAGTATTTGAAATCGGAAGATTCGCCGACTCTTTTGAATTAAACTTTATAGTAACAATGGAATACTGTACGTCTTCGTCGGGTTCCTGTTTTACGGTAGGTAGACCTTATACAATGATACATCGGAAACAATCGGAAACTGTTCGGGTCTTTCTGATGAACTGTTTGAGTAATTGGGGGCAAGTTTTCGAAGGATTTCTATTTGACTTCTGTCGACTTACAGAACTAGTAACCAAAGAAATCACGTTTTTGTTCCTGTAAAAATGGCTGGTCTGTCATTTTTAACTTAAAAGATGGCAATACTGCTTTATGTGTTTCAAGTAGTAAAGTATTTCTGAAATTCAGCAGGAAAGCATCTTAAAAAAGTATGCCTTTTATAACGAATGATATATTATAAATTCATTTATTTAATTTTCTAATTTCACAATTTTACTGAGAAATAAAAAGTCTATTATTTCAACATTATGCTGTGAAGAAATGAAAATATGGTTAATAATATTATATTGACATACAGATTTATGTTGTTTAGGACATGTGCACTGCTCGCAAGAAACGGTCAGCTGATGGAGTGATAGAAGTGATTGCCAAAACCAAAATTAACGTTTATCAACAATCAGAGGTCAACACACATACAAACAACACAGGTGTGATTTCTTCTCTAATATCGCTTCTAGATATATTGGTACTGTACTTTGGATATTTACATTTTCATTTTAAGTTTAATATTTCCTATAATAAATCTTTTTGTCCTATGAACCCCTATATATTTCTCCGTATAATGTCAAGGTTATGTAATATGCTTTATTTCAAAGTCAATTTACACACCATATCGACTGTTGCTTCATGCTCTTTGTCTACCACATTTACATCCAATTGAAATAATTATATTTATACTACTCATTTCTTTTTTATGCAAAAAGTTAACATATGTAGATCTACTAGATTATTTACTTGTTATGATACATTTTAGACTGTAAACTTGTTCTGATTTGTATTATAATTTTTGGTTTAGGTCCTGTAGAGACACACGACTGCTTTTTGACATGGATGTTTGCTGCAGTGGCTGGAACTGTGTTCGTAATTTTATTCATTGACGGTTTTGTCATTGCGTATCTTGTGAGGCAGCTTAAAGGTCTGCCACACAAGCAGCAACCTACCAGACCGACGGTTATGTACCCTAGAATCAACACCAGTACGACCTCGTCTTACTTCTAAACACTGCTGAGTGTCACTGTCATTGAAAACTTATTGAACGTGGTCATAATGTACTTTACGTCTTCTGTTGGTTATATTTTGTTAAATAAATTATTTTACAGCAAAACAATCAGCTGTTTTATTCATTCTGTAATTGTAACATAGGACGCACAAATACCATTTTATATAAATATCATTTATTCATACAGAATTCAACGTAATTGATGATAGTTTACATTCTCGTTGTAAGGTTTTTAATTGGAATTTTAGTGTGTATACAATTTATTTCAAAAAAGGTTTTAAAACGACATTTTAATGGTGCACACACACACATTCATACAGGTTCATCGCTGATGAAGCATAAATATAATGATCTAATATAACTAAAAATTATAGCTGTAAATCATGGAATTAAATCATATTTACATTTAACATTGTAAAGAATAATACTAGCTGAATCTGAGCGTAAAATCGTCTATTACTGAGCATAATTTTAATTATGATATGCTTCAGCTCAATTCTTGACATTATTCAGTTGTGGCAATTTAACTGGTGTTAAATCGTATATTTTGTATGTACCTAAAAGTTAATAAAACATAGATATGCTGATTGTTTATATGATAAATGTTTAACTTATCTTAAAAAATGTAACATCCAGTTCATACAGCTAGTCTTGTACGAATGTTTAATCATTGTAATCCATAACATCGAAAAGCCATCGTAAACCAACTACTATCAGGAACAATGTTGTCACTTTGTCGACATCTGCGACACGGGAGCTTGAAAACTCAAATACTAATATTTGTCCCGCTTAAGTGTATTTCTGACTCTACAAAAGAGATATGACGTCACTCCTAGAGCCACAAAAGTGAGACAGCCGAAGACGCCGATCACTCCTATAAAGTCGTGGTCCTCCATGCAGTATTCCTCCGCGGATTGGGACCTATCTACAAAAAATAAATAACAATAATTAATATCCTAATATTAAATGGGAGCAGCATATAATTTTATCTAAAGCCATGTTTGCAACACTGTCCCTAAACAGTTGCTGTGTATAAATATAATTAAATGTCTTATACAATCATACAGTCAGATATACCGGGCTATTTCTTTTCCCTCAAACTTGTGAACAACGACTGAAAACATCTTGCTAATATCTTGTAACGACAGTTTTTGTTCCTAAACAGAAGGAACTAAAGAAAAATCTTCGATTTTTTATAAATCTATGATAAATCGACAAATACAATCAGGCAGTGTGAAACATCAGGGTCCGTATTCATGAAACCATTCTCATGCTCAAATTGAGATTTTGTGCTCAAGCCAAATTTCTTGTTCTGGTGTTAAAGTAATTAATATTTGCATTCTGTCAATGATTTGGAGGATTTTTGGAGAGGCCTATTGCTGAATACTTTTTACAATATCTAGACTCGGCTTGTTTACAGTATCATAAGGTGTATGCAAGGCACAAGAATGTTGGTTCGAGCACAGAATCTATGCTTGAGCATGAGAACGGTTTCATGAATACGGACCCAGGCCATTTATAAGTATTTCCCTCGAACAAGTGAACAATGACTTAACATGATGTGCAGCCTAATTTTCACGATAAGTTTCTAAAGTCTTTTTTATTCACAGAAATGGGCATAAAAGAATAAAACAATTCTATTGTCTTCAGACTGACGGACTCCTTACCTTCAGAACTGTCAGATTGTCTCGATTGTTTTTCTGTAACAGTAACTTTCAGTCCTACGACAGATGAGGCGGCATTGCTGTCTGCTGTACGGCGTGTCCTGGTCTGACATATACTCTGCAGACAACAAATGTTTCGGTGATTATTCTTTAACAAACACTCTTATTTTATGAAATTGTCATCCATGTTCTATCAGGACATTATATTGTGCTATTGCTACAGAGAGATAGATTATACTGACACTATATGATTATATCACTTTTAGAGTTTAATGAAAAAGAAAACACTTAAATACCTGTTAAGGTAAACCACAACTTGAAAACATTATTGTCGGCATTATTTGACGTCGCATGTAAAATAATGTCACAAATTACATGACGTGACTTGTAGAATAGCTGTTATGTCAAAAACCGACTAAATTGTTCACTTCAGAGAGATTTTGTTTCTAAGGACGGTCACTATGTACTGTTGACTATTGTTTGATTACATATATTTTGCATGAATACCGTTGTGCAAGATGCATCGTCAAATCGGAAACAGAAGTCCAGTTTACATAAGAAATAAACGTCTGCTTGATTTTCAAATCGAGGCATGTAGAAACTTCCGGTGTTATAGACGACGGGAAACGTCGTAGAGTCACTGGTCATGTTAAATGTCGAATATGGAGTGAACGGCGATACGTCACTTCCTGTTGGTAAGCATCTGCAGAGAAGAAATATACCCCATTGTATTAAGATATATATATATATATATTAAGTAATTAATGAACACTGTATATATCCAATGTATTATTTAAACTAATTTGTAAGAAATATTTTGAATTAAACCTAACAACATATGTTATATACTAAATTTTAAGGTTATGAAATGCATTGACATTTATTATTAAGACAGCAAGCGAAATACCCGGATGTGTGTATAACCATCTTTGATATGTCTCCGTCTCCCCAGACGTTGTTAGGTTTGGCAACACAATCCCTAGGTCTCACTCTTATAGGATGAAGGTTGTCTACAAATAGGCAAACAACTTATTTTGTTTCGATTTTATGTAATGCATAAGGGTAAAAATGCTAAATCACTTATGTTGTTAATTACATATCAATAATATACAAACTTATATAACAGGGGGTCTTTCCAAACTTGCAATGGATTGTTTTTATTAACTGTAATAGCTCATTAATAAAGCAAGTTCACTACCCGTGCGACACCATCATATGTTAACAGGTTGCAACATGTTTTTGAAAACTTTGAACTAAAAGGGTCAGCTTGAATATAAAAAGACGTTACCATTAGAGATACGAACGAAAAACATGATTCTGTATGTAAATATATTGTAATAAAGTATGTATGGTTTATCGATGTGCATTCAAATTCAGGTATGTATACCATTAAACAGAAATCTGTTAGAGTGAAATTACCTATCAAACTGGCTGGTACATCGGGAAAAGAATTATCTGGAACGAAAAGTGTACGGAGTCGTTTTATCTGATTGATAGTACTTTATCATTGATTTATCTTCGCATTAACTTAAAACGAATATAACTGACAAAAATCACAATTGAAGAATTGAAAAATAAGGAAGTACCAAACAGTATTATCATCAATTGTCTATCAATCATATTTCGACAGAAAACGTATTTAAATATCAACACCAGATACATATAACCATAACTTTAGTTCACCCTTTCGGGCTTAGCACTTCATGAGTGAGAAGGGGATTTCATAGTCTACCAGCAGAGTAAAGCCACCTTGTGGCGTATAATATTCACTAGCAATATTGAGAATGGAAACATTTGAAAAGTTTTCCTGTTTTTCTCCAATATGGACGTGACATAAGACTGAAGCGCTTAACTCGAAAGCCGGTAAAATAACTGTTGATATTTATTATTATCATCATTTACACATATTGAATACCGTTCATGATATCTCTCCAGTAATTATTGTTAGTATTTACCAGTGTCTAAATCCGTATCTTCATCAACCCAGCCATCACAATCGTTATCCACCAAGTCCCCTCTGTAGCCAGAAGTCTTTGAACAAGATGGCTAAGGAAACAGATCAGCGCAAGGCATATGAAGGACACCTGTCCAGTTGGTTATAACATACTAAGAATACACCAAAGGCAATAAATATAAATCATAACTGAAAAGGTTTGTTTGTTCTCATCTTTTGCCATGCATGATATGTGTGAGAAGCTGATGTTTAGTAGGCAGTTTGACAATTGCTGTGAAATAGCCAACAAAAAGAAAGAACGAAAGAATAAAAAGAAAAGAACACAACGTCTCAGACGGATGGGAAACTGCCACAGGCAGAGATACAGCTGCATGAACATGGAATGAAGTCATCTACATCACCGCTGATTAACAGGTGAACGTAAGATACACCCATGTGACTGCACCAATAAAACTTGGTGTAATTGGTCCAAAGTGCTGTTAAAAAACAGATGGGGAAATGCGTCAAACACCTTAATGATATGAATTTCAAGATTAGAGAAGTATTATAACTTACATCACCGTTGACATACAAGTCTGCCAGGTGTATACCAGGAGGAACTGTAGCAGCCACCACGTCTGTACCGTTATCCAGTACTAAAAGGGCCAGAAAGGTCTCGGACGGATGGGAAACTGTCACGGGCAGAGAAACAGCTGCAGGAAGTTTGACAACCATCATTATCAGATCATTGGCGTCGGAACCTGAAGATGTTATATTTAATTGTAATCAGATATAACATATCTTTGTTTGGTTGATATAAGATGTCTTTGTTAGGTTGATATTTCATATCGTTGTTATACAGATTTAACTAAGCGGAATTTAATTGTTGCATTTTTCAGTACATTGAAAAGTTTCCATCACAAATAACTGACTATTAATTACAGGTACAAGGTATATACAAATAAAATAAAATTTATGAGAGGGGAGACAATTACAAGGTCACATAACTGACTATTAATTACAGGTACAAAGTATATAAAAATAAAATAAAATTTATGAGAGGGGAGACAATTACAAGGTCAAAAACGATTATGTAATCCAATATAACAAAATTGTCGTAGGAAGCGTAATAGGAAAAGTGATATTTGTGAAAGTTTAGTTATGGAACGAATATGTCAATTTATTGTACTAAATATATGTGTTTCTAATCATTTTATAGTGCATCGCACCATTCAATTGTTTTTATTACAGTGTTTTGTCATTTAATAATTCTTAACTTTTAATTACTTGACATGTTCATGCCATTGCTATTACCTGAACTTAAATGATGGACTGCACTCTTTTGAGCTGTAATACTCTCCTGATTTAGTTTTAATGCGGATTCGGATCCATTCATGATGACGAAGTATACAGATGAATTTTCGATATTGGAATTGCCAACGTCCAGAACGTAGACATTCGACCACTGTTGAAGAGGCGGTATCAAAACTACGGTTTCCTCTCCGTATATCTTCAGACACGATACTGGTCCACTGGACTTTAGTTCGAAAAAATACTCACCATCTGAATTCAAATTCAATTGTTCATGTTGATTTAACTGTGTAGTATTATCTGCAGATCCCAGCTGGCTAGATGCAAACCGTATTGTCGTCGCACCAGATTGAGAAGCAACACATTTCACATTCCCTGCTCCTGTAGGGATGATAAAAGTTGTTCCTAACTTTTCCCTACTCAATGACTGCTGTATTCCAAACTTGTTTTGTGCGACAGGTGTGTCAAACCCTGTAAAAACAGCCACTGGTTTGGACGATGAGATTATGGTACCTAAAAGATCGTTGTTACTATAAATGTGCAAAGCCTCAAACGTTTGTAAGTTACGGCTGTCTGTACTTCCTGCAGGAATATTGGTCCCACCAATAGATACGGAGAAGTGTGTCGAAGTCACGTTTACTGCGGTTTGATCATCGGTCGCGATTATTATCACAAAATTGTTATCATTTGATGATACTAAGTGGTACAATGACCCTAGTGTGTCCGTAGGGTAAATCGTTTGTAACGACTTGCCTCCTGTCCAAGAACTGTAGGTCATAATATAAATTTTCTCTGTAGACGTAACTAGCATTGCTGCTCCTGAAGCACTTCCAGGGACAGACACACGTGCTGATGACGACGGGTCTACGGTGATGGCCTCAAATACCTGACTCGTGCTAGTGTTCCAGAACAGGACTTGTGACTTTAATGTGGTAGCACTCAGGATAATCAGGTCATGTGACCGCGCCGCATTTGCAGACACACGATCGAACGCAACCCAAAAAGATGTTCCGCAGGAATCAAAAGCTGTAATGAGGAAGTGACACATGCTAGAAAGACAGAAAAATAATAGCTTTCACAGACAGATAGTTAAATATCATCCGATGATATTTTTCTAAAAAATAAAAAGGACTGTCTTATGAATAACATGTACTTCTACTGTTCTACTGGGGCATCGCCGTATATCTTAGACGTAGTCATGCCGTTTATTGCCACGTATTGTTAAAACTGGAAAATAGGGGTTTTCTTTATTATCAATTTTTTGGAGGAAATGGCTCTATGCTATCAGATAATTTAAATCTGTATGCTAATTGGTACGCTGGATGTCATGTCCATCACCAGTTTTAGTAATTAGATCACGGACATCATGTGTTATTCCATTTGCACGTGCATTGTCCTTACTATCATACATGTTATATCGCCCTGCCTGTGGAAACTTGGAGTTTTGTAATAACATTGCACGCCTTTCTCAGGCCTATTAACTTTTTAAGATTTCTTTTTTGATTTTAAAAGAGGCAATCATTATTTATACTCTAAAAGCTGTTCCTCCGCACAAAAATATGAACACGTCTTGATAACTCGTGTACAATATGTACCGTTACTGTCCTGAGCCTGAGGGTTGTACACCACCTGGAGGTAGACATCTGCACCCAGCTCCACCACAGTGACGGGCAGATCTGTTGCCTTGTCCACTAGTCTCATGACAGCTCCAACTTGGACTTCCTGTAACGTCATCGACGTCATTCCTCTACATGACGACATAACAAGAATGACGTCAGTGCATAAAATATCTGTAGTAAAGCTTCGGCACACATACTTACATTATCATGGTAACGAGGATCCTAATAAAAAAATCTTAGGTAGCATCATTATCAAGGTTTGAAAGAAATTACATACACCATAATAACTGTAATTCTACTCGTAATATCATAACGAAGTGGAACTTCAACTTTCATATAACTGCCTTGCATTCATGTTGTTATAAAATATCTTGTGCATTATACAAAATATTGTATTTTTTTCTGTATAGCCTCGAACATTGCACAGAACTTAATTAACAGTCATACAACATTTCAACATCTGCTGGATTCACGTATGTGATACGATAATGTGTATATGAATATCAGAACAGAACTTACACAGCAAAAGCTGGACCAACTGTTTGCCAGCCTCTCAGGAGATTTGCCATGTCGCACTCACAATCATAGTAAGCATCTGTTCCAATGTCAAGGTCGAGGTCACCAATAGTCCGTATGCGGAACTTATATTTTACCCCAGTTGTAATCTAAACAGATTAAAAAGTAAGACGTGGTCGTGTAGCTTGTGTACAGCGTTCAAACACGAACAATAACAATACAGGTATCTCGTACAAGTACACTCGGTATGTTAATGTAGTAAACTATGCTAATCGATATTATTCATTAAGTTGCTTTCATTCTTTTTCAGGCATAACAACGAAAAGTTGTAGCTACGTGTATCAGTTTCAGCTGATACACGACTATATAAATGGTTATGATATTAACTGACTGGCTCATATATATTCAAACAGATAATTATCTTAACAATTTTTTTAAATATGACGTTACATTTTAATAATTTGTACCGGTTTCTTCCATGGTGACGTCATAATACAAGGCAATTGTTTCCCCGACACAGGAATCATGTGCTCGCAAGAGAAACCCTCTTTTCTATATAAATATGTATGTTATGGGAGAAAATTTCCCAAACTTGTACTAGTTGATTTTCATGTTTATGTAATTCTCATTAGTTTATTTTTCGATTGTAAAAAGACACTAGGAAAAGCTCGTGTCTTCATACAATTCGAAAATTATCCATTTCGAGTTAGACAAACATGATAACCAACCAGCAACCGGTAGGGAACATGTTTGTACATCGTCATATGATTATTCGTTAAACTAGTAAGCTTAATATTAGGAAAACAATATGACTAAAATATACTTCTTGAACCCCACATGTGTTGGACATAGTAGCGACATTTGCAAGATCGTCCGTGTCGACTGTGATGGTCAACTCCAATGGACTGATAGCTGTACCGTTCCCTTCGACAGTCGTACATCCTGTTCTCTTCCCCACACCCAAGGAGGATGAGCTGGCGTCATACGGCACAATTCCGACCACATTATCACTATTGGCCAGTACCCGGAACGTGAAGTGTAGCAGGCTACTGTCCGAGTTGTTACCGAAGCAGAGGAAAGTGGCTGAAAAACGTCATACTTAAATATTATATAAGAATACTTCATATAAATCAAGCATCGAACTGCAAGTTGGTTCCAAGATGATTCCCTCACAAAGTTTCAACAACACAGATGCAAAACACGAGGTGGTTGACCAATGCAAAGAACAAAAACTTGTTCAACTTTGCAAAGGACATAAAAACCTAATGTCTAAACCTTATGAAACGTGGCAATGTTGTCAGCAAAACTGTCATACTCGAATGATCGTTAAAAAAGGAAAACGGTGGAATTGTTGAAATGCTTCTTGAATATAATAATGAAAGTACATGATTGATTATAAGACCGCCGAAATAAAGATATGAAGATATTACACTAGTTTATCGGTTTATATATACAAATAAAGGTAGGTTTTTATCATGTGTCTTATGACGCTTTGTATTTGTAAATGATATTGACTAATGGAATAGGGCCTTTTTATGGTGGCATATTTCTGCCATCCACTTGCGACTTACGAGTTACGTATGTCGACATAATTATTGAAAGATGTCGACATAATCTGAGAATATGTCGACATAATCTGAGAAGATGTCGACATAACTGTTAAATTATGTCGACATATTATCACATTTGCCGAGATAATTTTGCCGAGATAATTATCTCGTAAGTGGGTAACTCGGCTTTTTATCGTGTTAATGCTCGGGTGTGACATCGACTTACGACTTGCCACTTACGACTTATTTATGTAAAATCCCTCTTTGATTGATAAACTCTGTACATCATAGTAACCTACTGTAATATCCATATCTTTGATTTCCCATATTTACATTGATTTTACCAAGTTACTCACCAGTATAGTCACCACTGTTCAGTCACCATCAGCCCACCTTCGCGGTCCTCGTGCACAAGCCTCGTTTTGGTAAGTCGGCAATAATCTACTAGGATGTCGACATAAATAAGTCGTAAGTGGCAAGTCGTAAGTGGCAAGTCGATGTCACACCCGAGCATTAACACGATAAAAAGCCGAGTTACCCACTTACGAGATAATTATCTCGGCAAAATTATCTCGGCAAATGTGATAATATGTCGACATAATTTAAAAGTTATGTCGACATCTTCTCAGATTATGTCGACATATTCTCAGATTATGTCGACATCTTTCAATAATTATGTCGACATACGTAACTCGTAAGTCGCAAGTGGATGGCAGAAATATGCCACCATACCTTTTGTCAGGAAACATTGAAACATTACCTTGTTGTGTTCGTGTCACTGCCCATACTTTCTGAAATAAAAATGGCATGACATAAGCGAATTAATATTTACCGTGCACATAATAACCATACAAAGAAAGCATATTCTCAGATTTGCAATATATCTCTTGTATTGTATTTTTAATGTACAAACAATGTTTATTGTTTGAATTCATTTTAGTCCATTGCTTGGCGTTTCAACAAAATTAACAAAACTAGGGCAAAACCTGAACAAAGGCAATATTTACATGGCGACCCATGCATGAAAAAAAAACCCAAAGATAATAGGACCAGGTGTTCCAGAAGGGTACGCATTTTCTTCTTCATCCTTACACCTCACACCTAAAGAAAATATAGGTCAAATTCAATTAATGTCACGTCATCAAAGCAAGATACAGATCATGACAACGAAACATCGAGGCACACTAAAAAAAGACGACCTTCATATCACACAAACAAAGCGCATACTTCCCTGGGAGATCATGACGTCGACCATAGCATGTTCGAAGTCTTCTAGACTGGCTACCAGCCACTAAGTTTTTATGAAGAATGTCTCGGCTGCATTTTACTACTAGCTTATCTCCCCCTAGTTTAGAACTTCGACTCAGACATCCCAGTGATCATTTTTTTTAGAGTTATAATTGTTTTCCTAATTATTCAATATTCTAGAGACGGTGGCCAGTCTAGTAGTCTTCATCAATCTGCATCTTTGGAAACCTAATGTTGTAAATGTGTCTGTAAGTATCTATAACGGAAGGTTTTAGCAGAGCTTATAAAAGAGTTCTTAGTACGCCGGGGATGAGCGACGTGGTTTTCAAGAAATTCGAGGATGGAAGCTTAAACTATAGAGATAGTGTAAATTTCTAATGTTAATTTCTCAAAACTTCTATTTTGCTTTTTATATACCATTCTGAATATCTTGAACTGTCCAATATTACAGTATGTCATATGGCTATAATTAGATAATAATAATAGTACCATCTGAATACTTCCATTGTCAGAAAATCTTGTAACTTAAATCAAATTTGTTTTCGATCGTATCGTAAGCATGCATAGCAGTTGCAGATTCCAACATTATGGCAACGATGGATACCGGTTACACTTTATGGAAAATGGCTGTTCTATTTATTGATTCATTATCAACATTATTGTCTATTCCCCCAAAAGCTCAGCAATTAGACTTTACCATTAACTGTTGCCATTGTTTTTTATGGGCGCGGCAAACACACACTGTGAGGCAGATAATAGACAACGTATTTTTACTTATCGGCAACGAAGATGCTATGTATAATGCATGTAAGCACAACCAGTCAATTCTTCAATGCTTCAACAAAAACACGCTATAAAGTTTAAATAACATATTGCAATACCTTCATTTGATGATAAAATTTTATACTTTTATAGTGTGTATGGAAAGCGTCATACTTAAAACCCATTTGTAGCGAATATACCTCATGAGGCACCAGTCTGTATGAGATGAAACACTTACCTTGCTATAAAGAATAAGCAATATACTTATCCATCTGAAGTATCCGATCTCTTGACCAAAAACCTGAGAGAAAAATATATTTGGCTATATTTAGCAGAACTGACTTGTATTTATAGTCTATTCTATTGTTACTTAGTATGATGTAACTCCTGCGAGCTTACATTTCATAGGATATTTATGAAAAAGAGTTACAGAGCATTTTATGAAATCGCATATACTTATAATCGTAGGATTTTTTTATTAAACATTTGCAGCTCAGGACAGTATAGCTTTATAATCTACTTAATTGGGACGACACATTCGGACTGATGTCATTTGCAAGACATCAAATGGAAAACTACGAAAATTAGTTTAGCCTAGGACATGAGTATGATAGGCGTATGGCAAGCCAACTTATGAATGTCTAAAAGAAACAACTCTATTAATTTAGAAGATATCTCATAAAATAATAGAGATATCTCTTTAAAGGAGATGTCTTATAAAAAAATTGAACTATCTCTATAATTAAGAGTTATCTTTTAAACAATAGAGATATCTCATATAGTCCTAATCGTATACTTTTCGACACCTCTGTCCGAATTTAACGTTTAGAGATGTTGCCATGAACTAGTGCAATGGCAGTTTAGGTTGATCTAACTATCCTTTATATCGTTTATATATACTTGTAGACCATAACGTCGGTTGTATGGCGTATGTATTGGAGTACATAGTAGTGTTAACGCTGTCGTTCTGCTTCCATTTTAAATACAGGCGTGGTTAGATTTAAGTCAAATCTGACATATAACCATCCCGTAACCCGCTCTCAGTATACATAACGTTGACATGGTAATTGAACTAGACGGATGTAAAGTGCAAAACCTATTACCATATATTATAAGTGGCCATCGGTGTTGTCGGGGTATCTTATTTACGAATAAAGCCACACGTGTTTATCAGTGAATTCGGGTGGCCATGACGTCCTCGTTTGACGTGTACATTGTCCGTGTCTCGTTTCCTTAGAAAAGTTGTGTTGTTAGAGGCGCCGACATGAGACTCGCATCCTCTAAAACATGTACTCATCATATTTGTGTCTTTAAAAAGGGAACACCTACTGTGTTGGCATGTAATCCCGCTTGATGAGTTAGCATCTTCTCCGGTGTTAAACTTGTTCAATGATGACTTCAAATTGTAGCTATGACTATGGGATATATGGCGAGACAATATAAAAAGCTTCAAAGATAATCCAATATTTGAAGACGACGATTTAAGATTGATTTTTGGCAGAGTGAAAATGTCGATGTTACACTGATAAAAGATGGTATGAAAACGTCGATGTTAAAATGGTGTTCGGTGGTTTGCAGACGTCCGTGTCAGATTAATTTCCGGTGATTTTGAGAGTTCAGTGTAGAATGATTTTCCAGTGTTTTTGAGATGTCGGCGTAGATTGATTTCCAGTGTTTTTGAGATGTCGGCGTAGATGATTTCCAGTGTTTTTGAGATGTCGGCGTAGAATGATTTCCGGTATTTGGATACATCGGTGATAGATTCATTCCCGGTGTTTTTGAATCGTCGATGTAATAGTGATACCCGGTGGTTTGGAGACGTTGTTAGTTTGACTTCAATCTAGAATTTTGGACATTGGTTTGTCGACGTTAACGTCATATCGGTTGAAAGACGTCAATGTCGGCCTCTGTTTGGTGGTTTGGAGACGTGCATGTCTGATTGTCTATGGTAGGTTGGAGACGTCGATGGCAGACTCTGGTGGGTTCGAGACATGCACGTCTGATTGTCTATGGTAGGTTTGAGACGTCTATAGCAGCCTCAGTTTGGTGGTTTCGAGATGTGCATGTCTGATTGCCTATGGTAGGTTGGAGACGTCGATGGCAGACTCTGGTGGTTTCGAGACATGCACGTCTGATTGGCTATGGTAGGTTTGAGACGTCTATAGCAGCCTCAGTTTGGTGGTTTCGAGATGTGCATGTCTGATTGCCTATGGTAGGTTGGAGACGTCGATGGCAGACTCTGGTGGTTTCGAGACATGCACGTCTGATTGGCTATGGTAGGTTTGAGACGTCTATAGCAGCCTCAGTTTGGTGGTTTCGAGATGTGCATGTCTGATTGCCTATGGTAGGTTGGAGACGTCGATGGCAGACTCTGGTGGTTTCGAGACATGCACGTCTGATTGGCTATGGTAGGTTTGAGACGTCTATAGCAGCCTCAGTTTGGTGGTTTCGAGATGTGCATGTCTGATTGTCTATGGTAGGTTGGAGACGTCGATGGCAGACTCTGGTGGTTTCGAGACATGCACGTCTGATTGTCTATGGTAGGTTTGAGACGTCTATAGCAGCCTCAGTTTGGTGGTTTCGAGATGTGCATGTCTGATTGCCTATGGTAGGTTGGAGACGTCGATGGCAGACTCTGGGGGTTTCGAGACATGCACGTCTGATTGTCTATGGTAGATTGGAGGCGTCGATGGCAGACTGTTTGGTTGTTTCGAGACGTGCTTTTCTGATTGTCTATGGTAGGTTGGAGGCGTCGATGGCAGACTGTGTTTGGTGGTTTCGAGTCATGCACGTCTGATTGTCTATGGTAGATTGGAGATGTCGATGGCAGACTGTTTGGTTGTTTCGAGACGTGCTTTTCTGATTGTCTATGGGAGGTTGGAGACGTCGATGGCAGACTCTGTTTGGTGGTTTGGAGACGGGCATGTCTGATTGTCTATGGTAGGTTGGAGACGTCGATGGCAGACTCTGGTGGGTTCGAGACATGCACGTCTGATTGTCTATGGTAGGTTGGAGACGTCGATGGCAGACTCTGGGGGTTTCGAGACATGCACGTCTGATTGTCTATGGCATGTTAATACAGATAGTATTGGACATTGGTTTGTCGACGTTAACGTCATATCGGTTGAAAGACGTCAATGTCGGCCTCTGTTTGCTGGTTTGGAGACGTGCATGTCTGATTGTCTATGGTAGGTTGGAGACGTCTATGACAGACTCTGTTTGGTGGTTTCGAGACATGCACGTCTGATTGTCTATGGCATGTTAATACAGATAGTATTGAGCTGTCGATGTGTCTGTTTTGGAGTGATTTGTTTGTAGACGTGCTTGTTAGATTGTTTTGGAGGTTTCGAGACGTCAATTTTGAAATGAAATATCATCATGAAGCGGATTCTTGAATACAATTGTAATCATGATATTATGACACATATAAGATTGGGACATATTGATGTTTGAAAGTTTTTTCTTCCCTGGTTTTTAGATTTTTGTTTGTTTGTGTTTGAAACACGAAATGAACAAAAATATAACTTATATAAAAACAAAGCTAGGCTATTTTTTTAGTATCTGATGAATATTGTAATTATTGAAAAGTGAGCATTTGATACATTACACATGAAATATCAGATCGTGTTTTCTTTTGAAATATGCACTACGTGTTAATTTACATCTATCAAGACAATTGGTGGTAAAAGAGGGCGTGGCATTTGATTACACGGCACTCAATACATCATTGTCGCAGCGATAAAAATATGCCGTTTTATGACTTTGGGTGTAGTTTGGTATCAAGGGTGGGTGTGCATATGTTAACACAACACCCGTGAGATACGGCTAGGTTTATTACGTGACACAAAAGTAATAAACTCGAGGAGCAATTAAACCAGAAAATGTATAAAATGTACGTCAGAGCTTTACCATAAAACTTGTACCGTTTATGTAATGTAACAAGGTACACACATTAAATGTCGGCCAGATTCAGAATATCATTATAGGGACGTAATCATAGAAATAACCTGTTTTATTTTATAACTTGCGATAAACATAAGATAGTGTTCCGATGTATTATTACTAAATGAAAACCTATGTATAATCTGATGGAGTAACACAGGGTATACATTGTACATGTATATGCATATTCAGTATATTCCTCCCGTACCCTTGTATCACCATTGTAATTGTATTTATATAAATAACTTCTAAATGATAAACAAGAAATATGTGTAACATATATATCCTATAGTTGCAAATAATTAATTGTATCATCTTCATGTTTGCTTTGTAACTACAAAATGGTTATTCTGATAAACAAAATTATGTTCTAAAAATAATATGATATTTTGAGTATATATTTCAAATGTATTCTAGATAACGTTTTGTCCAGCTTCATTTGAAGACTGTCCTCGTGGATCCTACACACAGTGAGAAACCATAAAATGTGTTGACGACAAAGGTCAGTATAAACGACACAAGGACTTACCTTCCTACAGGTACGCGGCATGTCCAGGTATAGGGTTCCTTATAGCCTCGTTAATGTTCAGGGTACATCGCATCAGTTAGCGTGGCCAAATAACACTGATACGGGTAGAGCGTCTGTCAAGTTGAGTGACACATTCCATTACACCAATCACATCGTCTGTACCGGATGGTGAGGAGCCCAGGGAAGATTTAATATTTAGCAGACCCAACTCATCAGTGTGATAAATATCATTGGGAACAGACGGACATCAAAAGACACGTTTGTTGACAGTTTATGGGGTACGTAAATAAAACCAGTACCACTTATAACTATTTACTCACACGTTTGGGTGATGTTATCCGGGTCACGATCTGGCAAAACGCGCTCAAAGATTGCAAAGAATATTAATCGAATGTCTGAATAAATAAAAGTGAAAAGGACACGACTCAGAGTAGCTGTCCCTGTCAATAAATAACGTGTGATAAAGGTCATCAATGAAACATATAAGCATAATATTTTGTTAATGCAGTAACGCATTTTAATATGTAGTATCTATAATATATTTCTTTTCATATTCTGCCGAGGTCAACTTTCGTCCAACCTTCGCTCATATCCCGTTTTAAAACATTTTGTACAATATGACAGATGTTCAATGATATAAATATATATATATATAAATCGGCCTATAGATATGAAAATAAACAGTTGTAAGTGAGATATGTAAAAAACATATGTGCAGTTGACGTCAAAGTTGATATTTTATAGGGTGTTCCTGTAACTGTGTAAGTGCTCCTATGTGTGTATAATTATTAAGTAATCCAATGAGTGTTTCTAGACCGTCCCGGTCAGCTGTCAGTTCTAGATCTAGAACTTTCAGTTTTGGTGACTTATTTGGGCCACTTTTGTAAAAAAAAATATATGTTATTGCTTTGTTACGGTGACGAAGCGAAAGGGTGCCATTTCATTTTCTTAAACGGATTTTTGTCGCCGCGAAATACCGAAAAATGCGCCTTTATTGATTTGCTAAACGGCACTTTGTCGATTTTTCTGCATCGTTTCTTGGAAAGACGAAAAAAATGAGCCGTTTTATTTTGCCTAATAGTTCTTTGTAGCTAAAGCGCTAATAAGGCACTCTGTTAAACAACGCAAAAAAAACAACAACGAAGCGTCGAACAGCAAAGTAAAATGGCACTTTTTTTGCGTGACAAAACGCCTTTTTTTAGGAAAATGTATAACTTTTTTTTTCTTCCGGCGACAAAGAAAAAAAAACCGCGTCTTTTTTCGTTTCGTCGGTACATGGACTTAGATAGCAATCTAATTCCGTGGTCGGTACGTGTTAGATTGATACCCGAAAAATAAAAGCGAAAAGGCCAACTTCAAATGCACAACACATAAATTCATTAAAAAATATATGGCTTTTCACGTGATGTCCCTTTAATCAGCAACCATGCATAGTTGACAGCGTTTGGAACACATTCGTGCTGTTAGGCGCGGGTTTGATACATAAATATTGTTCAGTCACTGGTTCGAGTCTAGGTTAGGGGATTTGGTGGCCACAGAGCGTGAAGCAGGTCGAGGCCAATTTTTTTTTTTTTTGTAAAAACCTTTAATCATCAAAAGAGATGGCGTCATATCTACCAGAACTACATTACATCTCGTTTTAAAATAGTCACTGGTTCGAGTCTAGGTTAGGGGATTTGGTGGCCACAGAGCGTGAGGAAGGTCGAGGCCAATTTTTTTTTATTTTTTTTTGTAAAAACCTTTAACCATCAAAAGAGTTGGCGTCATATCTACCAGAACTACATTACATCTCGTTTTAAAATTGTCTATTGGTTTTTACAAACTGTTGTCTGTCCTTGAGTCAAATCAAATAATTCTGAATGGTTAGCGGTTATACGGTTGACTATTTATGCAGTATTTACCGCGAAAAATGTGTGCGTTTTTGTGCATAACCCGTTTGGCATATTTATGGAAAAAATCATAGATATTTTCGGTGTATACCGTATAACCAGGATCAACCAAGCACCAAAAATAAAAATCTTGGTTGTACATTGGTGTCAACCTCTTCAACCTCGAATAAGGAAATTCCTAAGTCTAAGTAATTCGTGCGTGATATACAAGTATTCGTTCACAAATAACTATGACCCTTTTTACTAATTCTGAATACTACTTATCTGTGATCACATTTAATGCTTTTCATATATTAACTCTATTTTTATGTGTATATATTGTTTCAAAAGAGTCATAGCCCGGGGGCCTTTGGAGGTAGGGGACTCTAAATCACTTAGGATTCTGGGTTATGATATTTTCTTATTCTGTGGGGGACTCTAAATCACTTAGGATTCTGGGTTATGATATTTTCTTATTCTGTGATAATTATTTCAGCTTTTTATTAATGTATGTAATTATCTCCCTTTACTCGTAATATAATGTGTTATAATGTTATTTTACATATGTTTGTCGCAATAATAGCTCGCAAGAGCTAATGTTCCTTGTTTACCTGTATTGTTTCTTATATCTCCCTCATTCCACTTTTCCAATGAGGGAGAAAGTGACTGAAATTGCTTTGCTTTTCCCTTTTTATGAATTAAATAACGTTAGCTCCAAAAAACTTTCATTTGATTCAGACACACCTGTTGTGTTTATATAACACACACGCTGCAGTAACTAGGAGATCATTTTACCAGAAGATGTAAAAATCGAGTTTGTGTGAGTTTGGACTTGAATGAGGGAGTTTCGAGGAAGATTGGTCAATTTTGGTAAAAATGAGGTAGTCTCCTTCCTAATGAGGGAGGGTAAGTTGACAGCTATAATGGTTATAGGCCTGACTAAACTGTAACGTTATACCACGGTCTAATCTAATTCCGTGGTTATACCGATTGTATGAAGCAGGGATATACTGTCCCTGTATGAAGACATGTATATATTTCTGATTTTTCAATATATGTTTCTTAATACACATTTAAATATGTTTATATTTAGGCCTTTGTCATCCCCGCTCAACATCTTACATACGTAGCATCACGTATACGTACATGTCACAAACATTTTACGAAACAGCGCAGGCCGACTTTACACCACACTTCCGGTAAAATTGGCGGGAGTTACATTTTGACAGCAACATGGACACCGAAATGGAAGATGTAAACAATGGCGGTCTAAGGTATTGTAACATGACAGCAAAATTCCGAATCAACTTCAATTCCCGTTTGATCTTTTGCATGAGCCAGCAGAGAAGCAAACGACATGCATGTGACAACAATAATAATAATATTTATTCGGTAAAAGCATGATCAGATGATACAGGTACAAATATCACATACAATGTATAATCACCTCGTGACATCGCTGCGATAACGTAGCTTTCTGACGACGAGAGATTTAGATTTCAATTGTATAATAATCACAGTATTTAAATTATCACATCAATGTTGATATCACAAATTTTTGAGCACTATAGATACAATGTATCTGTATGATGACTAAGCTTTAACCTAGGATATCCCATGAAAGCTGGGTGGCAGCCTATTTCCAATGGGGACCTCGAGCTCGGTATCATCATCACTGTACTGTAGTGTAACCACAGGTACTAGACTCGTCTGTCAATACACCTTTATTCAGTTATTATATGTGTATTCACAGACGAGGCTAGTACCTTTGGTGTACCAGTATATTTAGTCCGAATTAATCCGACGTTTTATCGACTTTTTTCATATTAAGATCATCGGCAGACCTGATTGTAATATATGAAGCATTATATCATTGCAGATACGTAGGGCCGGGATACGTATATAACTATTAATTACATACTTAGATTTCTGTATTTCATAAAGTTCAAGTTTCCTCTGGCCCCAACACCAAACTTCAGACATTTTGCATGCATGCTCTGTAGAAAGATAGAAAGACATCTGTCAACATTCCTCATTCTGTTTATTTTGGGCCAGCGAAAACTAGGGCTATTTTCCTAACACAACCTCATTAAATAAGCACAACCACGGACTTAGAAATTCCCTGGCACAACTAGGTCGCGATCGGGAACTGGTTGATTGCACTTCACATGTACTTTAACGTTCTTCTTCATAAAAATCTGAATGATCGATACTCTAGATCAATCGAGGTGCACGAAATAATTAAGACAAGTACTGGTGGGTTTGTTCACATTCGCCCTAACATAAGTATATTCTGTATAGCTATATTAGACTTTATAGCCAAATCTAGCTAGGCGGAAGAGGGGCCTTAGGGGAAACAAGAGGTAATTTGCAATAATATAATTAGTTAGTATTTAGTGGGAATGCTAAACCTTGATTGCTTAAATATCCAGGTGAGCAGTGAGAGATACAAGCCCTCTAGGCCTCTTGTTTAATTATAAATTTAAAATATGTTAGAATTTACCATTGCCAAATACATCACTTTGTGTCATCAAAAATGTCATGGACATTCTAGTATTTGTCAGTGTGTGGTACTCTTGTTAATTTAAGATCACTGGAGGACATAAAACTGGTGATGGAATATGCCAAGATTGATCCAACGGAAGTAAAACCTGTTGTCCAGAGTGTTTATTTTTCGGAGGAGTTGGACAATGATGCTGTCAAATTTTTAGAAGTAGACGACGCCGTTTTGACAGCTCTTGAAGCTGGTGATGAGTAAGTATCAAGCTAATCTAAAGCCTACAAGATTGAGATCAGGAAATAAAGTAAAAGAAGTGAAAAACTGTTTGAAAATAAGCAGTATGTTTCTTTAAATAGAATGGAGATAAATATCCAACTTACATTGAGAGTATTTCTTCACTTCTGAAAAATTAACTTTATTTGTTGGGTTTGTAGTATGTGTTGTTTCCGACATGTGGTTTAATCCTCCAAATTTAAGGAGAAAATGTTATTTGACTTCATAGAATGCAAAGGGTCAACTGAAAGCTGTTGTTTTAATGGGGTGGAATTACATTATTCTTAATATTAATTTCTTTTATACATATAAAAGTCTTTCTGTTTCAAAAAGTGTATATTTGTGTTACCAAAACTGTTTAACAGTGTTCATGTATACCTACACCTGAATATATTAAATATTATATACGTATTAATGTATATATTAAATCGCCTGAAGAGCCCAAAGATGGGCAAACGTACCAGGGAGATTTAGTCTTCTGTGTTTTGATTTATTTATATATAGTATATGTAAAATATGGTGATATTTTTTGGTGTTCAGGTTAGTGATTCGGGGAGAGAAGACAGAGAGTGCCGTGCTGTGTACAGGCAGCAAGACATATGACATAAAGGAGGCAGAGATGTCCAACTGCATGCTGCTACTGTCCGATATGGTCTGGAGTAAGGACCTGCCCGACAAAGGAGACCAGGCTGTCAATTACAGAAAGGTCTAGCATTTAGTCCTCATCATCCCACCTCTCTTGAATACTATTACTACTTTATTAATGTAATAACTCTCTTAGCAAGTTTTTCATCAAATGTGTGTTTTTTTTTATCAATATCAAAGGGTTTGGGCACAGAAAGTTTGGTATGGAAATTGGAATAATTTAAAAAAAAATGTTTGTGATGGTTAAAAGTTTAACCATATACTCATTTGAAGATATGTTAAACAAAACCCAGAAATGTATAAAGATAAAGGAGGAAGGAAGAGATGGAAAGAGGGATAAAAGGGTAAATGTTCTAGTTGTAAAAGTTGTACGCTAATTCAATAACAGTTTCACTTGATACTTCTAGAAGTGAACAATATACCAATGAATATATTACTGGTGTATTGCAGTTTAAAAAATCAATCAGAAACAGGTGTATGTTTACATATCTTTCAGATTACACTATTATATTGCAACCATGTATATTATTATATGTTTCCAACTAAGAAACCACTTATATCCATGTTCATAAAAAGGTGATGTTTTACAATATTTTGTATTCTAAAGTTTAGGCATCTTCATATGTGTTCAGATTTTATGGTAGGTCAGAGAGGTGATGTCATTATTTTATGAATTCATATTTTTCAATGTCATAGAAAGTAAGAAACCTGAAGATACTTCAAAATCAGCCATAAAATACTTTTCATGGCTATAAAGTTTCTTTTATCATTATTATACTGATGCTGCCTTGCCAAACATTTTATGAACAAGCACTAAATATCACAATGATGCTGTTTTTCAGGTGACTTCTGTATTACAAAACTACTTTGAGCTGCGGCCATGTAAGCCTAAGGTAAAAAAGTTGAAGATGTTACTGGAGAAAAACATGTACAACGGCAAGGAGAGCGAGGAGGATGAAGAGCATATGGATGAGAAAGTGAGAAAACATGTAGTGAAGTAGGGTATTCTAAACCTTTCCTGGTGTGAATTTTTATGCATTAATATAATATTTATGTGGTGGTCATGATCAGAGCTTTGTACAGTAAAGCATGGTTAAAATAAAGCGGAGCAAACTCAAATAATTTGTTCTGTTTAAGGGTCCTCATACCACTGCCAAAAACTGTAAGTAAGTTTGGGAAACTGTTTTTTCCAGCATCGCTATAACTTTATAAAATCATTTCTACAAAGAAAACCATACCTTGCGTTACATTTATGAGAAATAATAAAGATGAAATAAACAAAATCAGTAAAACCCCGCTAACTCAAACTCTTTGGGTCCAGATCAATAGGTCGAGGTATACATGGTATTCGACGAATCAGAGGTTTGACCGACATCGTCATTTTTTTATTGGGTGGGACAACAGACATTATAAGTACCGTAAATATCGCAGATAATAAATGATAGAAGTAAAAATAAGTTTAATAAAGATGACAACATTTCATAAGATATAAAATATAAATATCTTAACAATGAAAACATTTAGCAAAATCGGTATTAAGAAAGGAAATACATGTAAAATTAAAAAAGCTGCATGTGTAACGTACTTGTCGTTTTGACATAGTCCATCATACTGTAATGAGCTAGGATAATTTTACAAAATATCAAAAAAAGAGGAACTCTGCGATCATTTTAAAATGAAGAAATCTTGAATCCTTTTTATCATAATGTTGATCGATAACGAAACTAACAATCACAACTCATTCAATTTAAAAGTCTTTAAAGTAGTCGAGAATCCTTTATGTGATTTCTGCTTAATATTGCCATGCCCAAATATGGTTTTACTCACCCTCTTCCGCCAAATTATCGATTTCAAAACATTGTCTGGAAATGATAAATTTGCTCACAAAATGATAATCAGCTACAACAGGGTAAGTTGGGTAACGGTACAGTAACTTAATGATACTGCCGTTAATCCTTTAATTATCTGACATCCAGTCGACACCTGTATAAGCGCAATGAACGTGGACCGCAGCCTGTGCCTCGAGGCATGTCGATGGCACGCGGCTATACATGTGGTTGTGTCAGCCTGTTTGACGAATGGAAAGGTAAGATACTAAGGTTTTGAGTGGTCAACGGGAATAAATTGGATTTCGAGGAATACAGGGTATTTGAGCAATAGCTGTTCGAGTAGCCTGAGGTTAATTTACAAAGAATATATATAAGAACATGGTCGGGACCAAGTGAACTATTTTAGGAATAGGGTGTATTCGAGTTATGGGAGTTCAAGTAAGTGAGGTTTTACTGTATGATCAACTGAGATTTGAACCCTGGAATTGAGATTGTTATACTATCGCTATAACTAATTGAGCTACCTGGTCGGCAGAAAGGTACAAGCCAGACTGTTACAGTTATATCCAAGGGAAAGTTTGGGGGATCTTACTGTATATAGGAAAAACCACAGTGCAGTGGGGCAGGGATCCTTAGGCATAGTTTGTTACAAAAAATGGTAATAGTAGACTTTTAAGTTAAGAAAGAAAAGCTGCTACTACATCTGTACTTTGAAAACATCTTGTAAACATTAATTAATGAAATTTACCTTTTTCAGTATACCTTCCAAGATCTCTTGAATTTAGTCCAGGCTAGTGAAGCAGAGATCACAGCAGCTCTGAAGAAACTACAAGCTTGTAAACTTGAGGGTGAGTCCTTTTTTATCATTCATAATATTTAACTGGAGACATTGAGCTTTTTATGTTCAGTTTCGTTCAATGACTGTATTACTGCATACATTGTAGGTAACTATTTTGTTTGGGGAAAATCAATTAATGAATATATTTGGTACATGTTTAAAATCAATAATTTGGGAAACAAACATGCTATAATTTTGAAACATTTGTGGTTATTTTGTTTTGTCATTTTATGTTTACAAACCATTTAATGATGTAAGGAATAGTGATCTGTTGGCATTTGAGATTTGAGATTTTGAGCCACCAACTAGAATATACTTTTGTTCGCTGTTCCACCATTACCTGGTCAACAGTATACAGTTGACCTGCGGCCTCGGGGAAACAGTTCATCTGGAGGGTCCCAACTCCTCGGGAAAATAGTTTTGACTGTTGACTGATAAGGCATGAAACAACTGTTTTGTTACTTGACCAATGAAAAACCAAAAAGTCCTATGTCGAATGTGATGTTTAGATCTACCGACAGACGACCGTCAACAATCCAGTACCAAAAACGCTTGATCATCAGGGTGCTTGTAATTATAGGTGCGTTCGATTACCTAACATGTGACCAGTCAACAGTTGCACGTGACCAGTCAACAGTTTTATGGTAGCACACATTAGCTATAGTTCGTTTGGTGAATTGTCTGGGAAACAGTCGAAATTGATTAATATGCAGTTATATAGCGAGTCAGGTAACAATTAATGTTAATATATGAGAAGGTGATTTATGTGTAATTCTTCTCTGTTTAAATATTACAATCTAGAGTTCATACTATGCGTTTATACATTCTCTATTGCAGGGTACTGGCGTGTGTTACATTTTGACTTCTTAACCCAAGTACTTAACCACATCATACAACTGTCTGAGGAGAATGACTGGCTGCGGAGTGGTCTCCCCTTGGAGGACTGCTGCCAGACTTTGGAGGAACTCTTTCCGAGGTAAGTACATGCATTTAATTTGTGGCTTTTTTCTGTGGTAGACATTTTTCTTGAAATATCTTTCTCAAGTAGATATCTTGTAAATATTTGGTTCGTCTATCTGTATTCAAGATTGTTTGTTAAGATTGTAGTGTGGTAGGATAGTGTCTGTTGATGAAATGATCAAAAAGGAATTAAAAGAAACCCATAGCTGTCATACCTCCCTCATTAGGAGGGAGACTCCCTCACAAATTAATTTAAGTTCTACAAAATCTGCATCCTGTGGTCAATTGATCTCCTAGTAACTGCAGAATGTATGTAATGATCATAAGAGGTGTGTCTGAATCAAATGAACGCTTTTTGGAATTATTTTGATTTATAAAAAGGGAAAGATAAATTGAGCAAAGCAGTTTCAGTTGTGTTTCACGTACTTTCTCCCCCATTTGAAATGTGGAATGAGGGAGATCTCCCTCATTGGAGGTTTCAGAGGTTGACGCCTGAGGAATCCAGTAAAGTTATTGTAGCACTTGGTTTACTCAAAAAGGGCCTGTTCACTTTGGCAGAATGACTGGATCATGTGTTTGAAAGTAATATTTTTTGTGGGGTTAAGCATATGGCAGACACACATAATGTTAGATATTGAAAGCATTTGCCGGAATAGAACATAGACTACAAGGTCTGTTCTTATTTCATCCACAACTCTGGTCAAAATTTAAGAATATGATATTAAACAAAAGTTGCAAAGATCAAACACAGTTGTGTCAAAAGCTGCTTCATTCCGCTGTTTTTCTTTTTCTCTGCTTTCGGCGAAAATTGGTTGGAATTAAAAAACAAACACTTATGTTCTATGCATTCATGGTGTATCACTTTATCTGTTTTTAATTTTGTTTTACAGGCCAGTTATAGAACATGTAATTAGTTGTTATGCAGACAAAATGTCATCACCGACTGGTACTGAAGATGACGACTCACATATGGAAATTGGTAAGCAACACTTTCCAGTCTAAACCGACACAAAGGAAAGTATCTTTGACACCAAAAACTGTCTTCGGTGTTATGAAAGCACCCATTTAGAAATACTCTCACAAAAAATCTGTTTTAATATTAATATTTCTCATAATAAGTAAATGATGTAGATTGGTAAATGTCAGTCTGTCATAATGGTCTGTCTTTATATTCAGTGATGTTTTATACTCTTGAATTTTTTTCATATTCTTATTATATATTTTTTTCAGACACAGCGTTTTACACATTGAACGAAGACAAAATTTGCAGATTCTTTGCAGAGCTGTGTCTTCGAAACGCTGGAAAAGTATGTACCGGTACATATTATATGTAAAAAGTTGTTTTATAGTTTATTCATATTTTTTTTGATCCATGAAAACATTTTTGTGAATACTTAAGCATTGAACTAGCGCGCATTATGATTTGTTTGCTTGCAAAGCTGTGTCATTCAAATAGATCATAAATACCATACAAAAACAGTTCAATACTTATGTTTACGTTTTCTCTGCCTCTTATGTTATTTTTTAACTTACAATTTATATCTAAAATTTAAAATGCCTGCCTTATCGACAGTCCACACAAATTCGTTCAATAGTTGGAACAGCGTGTTGTCGCGTGCTGATTGGCAAACAAAGTAGTACTTTGATTAACAAACACTTAAATTTTATTCCACAATTCAGTATCAATACAATTGCGTATAATATGTCTATAGGGTGATTTAAGTTTATCAATAGAACTCTGAGCTGAAAGTTAGATTTGAAATTGTTTCGATTTTTCCCCGGAGCAAATTTCGTGCATGGATAAATATGGTGAACACCGTAAATCCGACCTTGCCCTCCACGAGGGAGTTATTTTTGGAAGTTAATTCAAACTTTTCTCTTTGCTCTGACATTTTGTGAAGAATTCACAAGTGAATTAATTTGTTGATTGTATGGGAAGCTGACTACAGTCGGTAGATTCTATAACAGCCTCGTTATTTGACATGTCTTCAAAAACTGAAGAAACCGTGGCTGCGAGACGCGTGAAACTGATAGCGTTTGAAGTGAGTGATCTTGCGACGGAGCACAGGGGTTCGTTACAAATGTCTGAAATGTTTATGTGTGCTGTGACTCATATCAGTAGGTCTGTAACATATGTGTCAGTAGGTCTATAGAATATGTGTATTTCAGGCATTTGTAACGAACCCCTGTTGATCAGTGCAGTTTAACAGACGATATTTCTAATAAATTGCATGAGTGGTAAAATTGTTTCCATTGCCGGCATTGGTGATTTCAACCGATGTGCATTTTGTACGATATTGCAGACCTTGGTCTTGTTTTTGTTGTAATAAAATTATTTTTTATTTTATTTTTTATTTTGCACATAAATTTACAATGACATTGTCAAGTCTTGCAATGCCCAGCGATATTTCAGCAGCCGTCATGTTTATTTTAATTGGATATTGTAGTTCCGGTCAGTGTTGTATTAATACGCTAAGAATTGTGCTGCATGGTAATTAAAGTCCCGTCAACAACACAGCTTTCAAAGAGGCTATATAGGGCCAATACCATGCAAATGTAAATATAATTAAATGATTTTTTGAAACTTCTTCAGTTTGGTCCCCAAATAACTTTTATTTTCATTCCGACAGTTTAACCTACAAGAGTTCCTGTCTGTGTGGGAGCAGAGTGTGCCGTCAGGGATGAAGACATATCTCCACCAAGTAGAGGTATAATAATAATGATAATTCTAGGTTCATATAAACTGCTTTATCACAACCTAGATTCTAAGTCATCTCAAAGTGGTTCACAAATTATTAGCCATGGTTATTGGGCCTTTGCCGATATCTTTTTCAACTCCTTGGGAGCATGCAACTGGTGCTGCCATTTAAGCACTCACAGCTAGCATTCAACAATTCAAGCACTGCCCAACCACGTACTTATTTACAGCTGAGCAGACTGGAACAAGCAGAGTAAAGAATCTTGTACAAAAATACAACACAGTGCCGTGACGTGACTCGCACCCGCAACCCTTCAGTCCAGGCGTCCTACCACTCAACTACTGTGTATAGAACTTTGATCGAACCAGTGTGCACATATAGGGTAACAGCCCAGCAGCGATTAAAACATTATGTCATGATATATTGATCAAGTACAGACATTTTAACCGGTTTTAATAAAAAAAAATAATAAGAATCGTGGTTTTTTTTAACGTGAAGGCATCAGCATCATAATGAATGCATAGCTATGAACTTCCTTTATTTATAACTCTTAAAATTGATTGAGGACTCACGTTACGTTCCTCATATTAAAGTGTGTGTCCCCAATAGCGAAACAATTCTTCATTGCCTCAAGCCAAGGGAGAATACTCTGAGAGGCCCTTGAGTTGGGAACATACCTTTTATATAAAGAGAGACCATTCTGGATATTTCCTGACATCAGAGGCCATAAATGTTCTATCATATCATATAGGAAATCGATCCAAGAGCTGTCTCCTTTAGGTATGGCACTAAAGGGCTGTTTCTCGAGGTTGTAGCCAATCATCATTGGCAAAGACAGGTTGTTCCCTCAGGTTGCTCTAGAGATCATTACCTGGTATCTGATTTTTAAGGAAGTATGTCGTGATCAAACATGATAACAAAGGATTAATCCATTGGTGTGTTGTGAGGAGGAAGAATAATGGATTATATGGAATAGGGTTTATTCAAGGGAGATAAATCTTTAAAAAACAACTGACTATTGTTCTAATTATATTAGATACTGACCCAGTTATGAAGGGTTAGTACAGAGATGTTCTCTTGATTTAGCACATTGCTATACAGGGTATGACGTCTTCAGGGTTGAGTCAAGGGCATCTTAAAGAGAACTGTAATGGTAAATTTTTACAAATCTATTAACTTGTGTCTGATATACATCAGATGCTGAAATCTGACCTATACAAACAATAATAATACAATTATTCACCAATTGCAAGACTTCAACATTATGACAATTATGTGTGGGTTATATAAGTTTATTTATATGAAAAGGTTACTTTTTTTGACATGTTGTGCAGGGTATGGCGCTGATAAATCGTAGCAGTAAACCCGAGGTCATATGGTACTTTCCTGCAGAAAATCTCCCAGAAGATGTTGGGGAACGCTTTGATTCACTGTTCAGGACTCGAGAAAAGTGGACTTTAGATGAAATCGCACCATATGTTCGGTAAATAATTTCTGATTATTATTAGTGTGTAGTTGTCTGAATTTTGCACATTAGGTTAGTGAACTGCATTGAAAAATCAATCGGTAGAATGGCTTTAAATGAACTGATCATGTATTTAATGAATTTTTATTAGGCCAACGCAACAAAGATGATTTTTAAAAACAAATTTCATCATAGGTCTTTTAGAAATAATGTATGGATGCTATTGTCATCAGCTACTTGGTTTTGCAGGGCAAATTACTCAATTTTCAGTTTAACACTTACTTTTGCAAAAAGTATAAAACAGATTTATGATATTCACAATCTTGTTTTCATGAAGGGACATCAACACATGTATCTCATTTGCTTTAAAGCAATTTTATAAGTGACTGAGATATATTTAAGTTGCTATAGATACATTTTGTAATAACACAAATTTCATTATGATAGCTTGGCCATTACAGGCATAATAGAGTATTTCAATTCAATCTATTGGAGTTTTAAGATGTTTCCTCAAATGTGACTGGTTTTTGAGATAGGTGACATACAAAATGTAACTGCACATATTTGCTTGCTTCCACAGAGACCTGACAACAGCGAAAGTGGATGTAGGAGGATTACTGCTCAAGTACGCTCGCTCTTCACTGCATAATGGGATCAAGGTGTTCAACTCTAGGAAGCTTGTGTCATGACGACAGGCAAAATAACTTTAGTTTTGTGTGATTAAGAATGGATACAATTGATCATCTGATTCAAAGTGTTTCTTAGAGGTGATGGACTGATACGGAAGCATTTCAGAGATCTTATCAAATAAATGCTAGAATTGACCCACAAATTTGGTGTCTCAGCTAAAAACATCTTTTCAACAAGTACATATTAAATTGAAAAAAGGGTCTATACAGAAGAGAATTAAAAAATTCTATACCTATGATATAGTTTCTATAATAAAAGTTGAAGATGACGATAATAGTAAGAGCATCCCGAATTATTGAGAATTTACCAAAGTGGGGATGTGGCTTATCTGCAGCGGAAATATGGTTTGTCATTTAAGTGAAATCCCTACAGCGGACAGGACCAAACAAGGCAAAGGAATCAAAAACAAAACCTCAGCATTTCTTGTAGGGTTCCCTCATATCGATTTAAAGGGAAATTTCTTATAGCCTAGCTAGTAAAGTGAATTTGTTACTATGTGAAGTTCATGTCTTTCACAACAGTGCACTTCATTTGATGTTGCTGCATTGCATTTTACGAATGTCCTGATTATCTTATTTTAGGGATCAGCTAATCTTAAATAATAATACACACATTGCTGAAGTAATAGCGTTTTAAGGTTTCAGATTGTTGTGAATCACATAAGATTATCTTGATGGCTTTATTTAATTGTTTGTCCTTGGTGTGAGATGTCAGAAAAGAGCGAGAAAGCTAATATAATGTAGGGAGCAAGAATACCGTGAGTGTGTGTGTGTATGTGCTGATCTGAACTGTCTAGACTGTAACGAGAAGTGCTACATAAATTATATTTACCTTGGTAATTATATGGTTATGTTTTTGATTTCCTTGCGGCTTGTCATACAGCAATGGTAGATAGTTTGCTAGTCATGCTTTCTTTGGAAACAGTCAGTAATGAAAACCAGGACAAATACTAAATTAAAACATCAGTAAAAGAGAGAGAAGAGCAGGAGAGGGGTTAGCGACTTCTGTAGTGATCTTTGAAGCAGAAATTGCTAACTACCATGTAAGTCTATGTCAAATCCGAGAAATGTAACGTCCTCAAAGCAAGAACCAGGGTAATGACAAGGAAGCAAGGCACACCATTGTGTAGTCAAAAACATCCACCTTCACGTCACACAAGAAAATATAATATTTTCAAATGAGATCAGAGTGGCAATCGTAAAACTTGCCTATAGTCTTAAAAATCAGAAGAATTTCTCCGATAGCAGTCAACATCTATCACAGAAATGTTATTTGGAGCAAGGATTTGAGCAGAAAATCAACTTGGATATGTAAATAAAAATTTGTTTATGTTTAAAAAGGGTATTAGTCCAACATTTTGATTCACAATGTGGTCCTCCTTATTTTCGAGTTTTGACATGTTTAATAGCAGCAAAATTTAAAACTTCATAAAACAGAACTGAATTGATTGAACAATAGGAATTGTGATTAACTGAATGGTTGTGGATATACAATTAGAATTGGTAAAACGAAAATAATTGATTTTAAGATTTTCCTTTTGTTATCGATAGGAGATAAATGTCTATATGAATTTTATAACAAAGTTTATTACCGGTTCAACTTTCCTGTCGGATGAGAAAATGCTTCGTAATTTATATTTCCTGATGAAAAAAGTATGAAAATATATTCATGTCACAAGTACCAGTTCATGAATTGAAATCCCCACAAACAGAGAACATCTAGGTCCAAGTTAATTACATGTAAACATTTGGAAATCAGGACTTAATCTGAAAGCTTGTTTTCTCTTTGTTCCTGTTCTCTTTACGTATGTGTGTATTCTTTTTACTATTTAACTTTGTGCTTTAGTTCCAAGCGTGCTAGTATTCTCCAAATCTTTTGTAATCTTGGGCTGGATTTCGTGCAGTTATAAAGGGAATAATATTTCAATAAAAATGAAGATTCTTTTCAGAAAATGCAAATGTAAACTTCTAACAAATAACTCCACTGATGTAGAGAAATATGTAACTATAACCAAAGTTTATCACCGGCGTTATATTTATAAAAACCATGTATATTTACAAAATTAGAAACATCCCCATTCCACCTCTACATAAAACTCAACTGGAATTGGTATATTTCGTATGATAACGTGAAGCGTTGCTTCTAATACCAAATAATCAGTCTACAAATACGTGAATTATTACGATTGATAAATACATACTTACCTGAATTATTAACGGTAACAATCAATATTTAATCTCTTTAAGTATTACCGGTAAACATTATTATAAAGTTACTTGAATTAGTGTCTGTAATAAGTATGATTTAATTAGTATAGTAAATCTGGTTTAACTGAATATATAAGTGTGTGATGCATTCATTTTATGAATTGATTAATAAGTACATCATTATATGAAGTTTTACCCATAATGAATATACGATTACTTTTAATGTATTACATTGAGTTTTACCTGTAATTATTATATAATTTTCAAAGTTTTACCCGTAAGAATTACATAATTAAATAGAGTTTAGTATAGCATACTAAGTAGTATGCACAACCTGTGTTAATAATAATACTATATATTTAATTTCGTAAAGAATAACCAGGGTGGTCATGCTACTTTGATTGCAGTTGATATACAGGTATGCTCAATTGATGTTCTATTGATGAAAAGTACAAACATATAGCAAAACAAAATGACAAACCTCTTTTGTTATGTACAAGCCTGTCATATTGCTACAAAATGATGTTGATGGCCAAGTTTCAGGATTGTTTTTTAACTTAAGAAAGTCTGAAACTTCAGATTTTTCATTGGAAAGTTTGTTATCCCCAACTGGAAAATACTGAATTAAAAGAACATTCGAGAAACTGCAGCATGTTGATCCAAAAGGACAACGGACATCTTCATTCTGAGGATAACACTAATTCCACGGATTTACGTTATACAAGTCATGTTGGCTGCAGTAAGAACCCAGAAAAGGTCGTAAATGTTGGTTGAACTTCTGCCCCTGCCGTGTTTGACGTGATCCTGACCCAAACACAATCTCCTATCTCCAGTACTGCTATTGCTGTCGCTGATCCGGAGTTGGGATATGTACTAAGATCCGTCCCGAGAGCACTTCCGTTTCGCACTAGTTCGCTGATGACCCACGAGTTAAAGTCGGACTTGACATTCCAGTGGAAAACGTAAAGTCCCGCTAAGGGACTCGTGAACATTCCAGTGAACTGGCTATAGTGTCCACCCACGTTTATCACAATGTTCTCAAACACAATGGTGCTGTCCTGGCTTATATCATGATTTTCGTGAGCGAGAATCGCATAGAATGCCACGGCTTTGATTGGCGCATCTGGAACGAAAACGTTTTGACAAAAATGTTTACTAAAATTTTCAGAACTCTGTCTTCCCGGACGTTTACTTGTTCCAATTGCTTTACTTGAAAGTGACAAGTTGCTCAAATTAAGATTTCATTGGACCTTATATTAAAAAGAAAGAGTTTTGATTTTCGGACAAATTTATCCTAAATAGAACATAATATGATCAAGAAGTTCAAACACGTTTTATATATCAAAGACTATGGTTATTTCAAGGAAGATTTAAAACAAATAACAAATATAACCTTTCTGAGACTCCCGAAGTTCCACGCCAATGTTTGATATCTCATGGTCCAGCCTCTTTGCTGTAATGATCAGTTCTCTCTTCCTCGAGTTTTCTGTAGTATTGTTGTTGTCAGTACTTTCTGACCATTGTGTACCAGGAAGTACATTGTGGAGCACGCCGACCTTTTCATGTAGGCGTTGGTTTTCTGTCGTCAACTCGTCTATGTTGCTTGTCATTTCTGCTAACCTTTGTGCATGCCTCGTCTCAAGGTCTGCCACCCGTCTGCCTAGGTCTGTTATCATTCGCCTGTCTGCATCACGTTGCTGCTCTAGTTCATCCATGCGTCGTAGGGTTTCGGATAAAACTGAACGAATGGATGGGTTCAGGACATTGTAAACGTTGAGATTCGGATCTTGAAACTGTCCAGACACTTTAGACAAACAGCATGAAATGAAGTTCATGCAAATTATCTTTTGTAGCAGCATTATAATACGACTTAATATTTCATTAATAATTAATACTACAAGTGCACAGCGTATTTCATTAATGCTACAGGTGAACAACATTGATAAGGCGCTGCTCTACTGTCGTTTATCAGACACCAGAACCAAATTATGTTAAGTATGATTAGCTTAACCTCAACTTGACGTCAATTTGTGTGTGGCATCATATTTAAAATTATCTTAACATTTGTAACAATAATATCTCTAACGTTTTCACCCCGATCGAGAAATTAAAAAATACATTTATTTGAATATTTAGACATTTCCATGCTCTTTTTTTCTGTCGTGAAGCATGTCCGGATTTGAACATATAGGCCCTGATCAACGATAAAACTGGGGCTCGTCACAGGGTTATTGTGTATCCCTGTTATTGGAATGTATTTGCTGTTCAACGTTTAACCATATTTATGAAGCACGTAATACGTAAACTCAAAGCCATAAATAAGTTCCTATGGGAGGCGACTATAGGTTCGCTCTCGGTCCGTCAGTCAATAATTCTGTAGGCCCTGTTCTTTTGAGCATATTTCATATACTGTGTCGTCTACAATTACTAAACGTCGTATGTGAGTACCTCTGGGGATGAGGGAGTGTCTCGTAATGGATCCTTATCTATTACCCGACTATGTACAGAGTTGTGGCCCTTTGGTCATTTTTATACCGGAAACGGGGAATTTCCAAGACGGTCTTTATAGACAAGCATTTATAATATAGTACATATGTACATACGGTCATGTTCATTGTCAGATTGTCTATATTTAAAGATAAATTTTACAGACAGACGGTTTTTATACGACCGTCAAATTTGACGGTAGTATTATGGTATCGGGTTGTCCGTTCGGCGTAAACTATTGTTTGTCCGGCAATCTCCTCCTACATTTTTCGACCGATGTCTTTGAAACTTCGTAAACATTTTAATCATGATATGAAGTTGTGTCTCCCTTAAAAGAATTTTGATTCGACAATTTTTCCAAAAGTTATTCCCCTTTGTTCATTTCAGTATTTGATTTTTTGTCCGGCAATCTCCTCCTACAGTTTTCAACGGATCTCTTTGAAACTTGGTATACTTTATAATCATGATATGAAGTTGGGTCTCCCTTTAAAGAATTTTGATTTCGACGATTTTTGCAAAATGTATTGCCTTTTGTTCATTTCAGTATTTACTTGTCGAAGATTTTTCCTACATTTTTTATAGCATATCAGCTAACCACTCTTAGAATGATGCAGATCTTATTTCATTGTAAGCAAGTATATAACACTATGGCATTCGACGGGCGTATTTTGTTCCGCCCCGCGGTACTCTTGTTGTATATAGCTAGTCTTTATACATCAGAGGGAATTATGTACAATGATGTGGCCCCTTGGCCATCTTTATACCGGAAATGGGGAATTTTGAAGATGATCTTTATAGACAAGTGTTTTTGATGATGTACATAAGTACATACGGTCATGTTCATTGTCAGGTTTTCTTTATTCAAAGATTAAATTTACAGACGGTTTTTACATAGGTAGTCTTTATACACCAGAGAGGTTTATAATTAGATGGTCTTTATCAAAAGTTGACTTTACTTAAATGGTACCAACTAGTTAAACGACATTATAACCATTGTCACTACGTTGGGAAGTATTGGTTAGAGTACATTTCAGGAGAAGTATTCCATCACAAACGCATGTTGCCATGCGTTTCACAGAATTATAGACGTTCAAAATTTGAATGCTTGAAAATAAAAGAAAACAGGAAAACTGCATTGTCCTTATATTGCTCAGCATACACTTTAACGATGTTGCTATTCGGTAAATATGGACTCACAGCAAGAAAATGAGTTTCCAATTTGAAAGCAAAAGAACTTGTAAACAATTTGACAGCGGGAGTTACTCCGAGTCAGAATAAACTTCTTTTTGTTGATTCATCTTTTTCGTAGAAGAGAGATTACCTAAGTAATATAACAACTCTTTACTAGTGGAATTTATTTTTCGCGATTACGATAATGCAGACTGTTTTTATATACAGGTTTGTTTCCGTCACTGAACACTCAATAAAAAGTGCATTTTATTTCATCTGTTTCCTTTTGTTTTCTAGACGCAAACTATTGTTTGTTGATCAAGGCCAAAACGTTTTGCCAACGAGTACACAGTATAAACATTATAAAAAAGAGTTGAAATCAAAATAATACAATAAGACGTCGTGCCTCCAATGTTGAAGGTAACTTTCGTATATAAAGTCGATCGCTAATGTTTGTGTCCTTGTGTTTTTATTAATAACTAATAACAATTGGATCTTTTAACTATTTTATTAAGTATCCAGAGAACATCGAAGTATTCAGTTCAATATCTGCACCACTTGAATGTGTGCCGACCCTGACCCAAACCTCATCTCCTACGCTCAGTTGTACCACGGCTGATGCTGAACCTGTAGAAGCATGATATGCAACGGCAGTGCCGATGACATCTCCGTTTCGGACAAGCTCTGTGTACATGTAACTACTTGTAGGAAGGGACCGCATGCACCAATGGAAGGCATACACGCCCGCCTGAAGACATGAGAAGGCGCCTGTATTCTTGCTGTAGTACCCGCCCAGCATCGTGATGATGTTCTCGAACGCAATCGCATGCTCAATACCAGGATCGTTTAAAGTATGTCCGAGGATGGCGTGGAAAGCATAGTCGTTAGTTGTCAAACCTGAAATAAGAATAAAGTACCTTTTTCAGAACAGCATATCCTGCATTTTTGCATTAGGTTTAATTAATAAATATGTCTGCTAAGAACAAAATGTAAATATTATGGCGTGTAACACGACTACAGACCTGTACGTGTGATCCTATTTAAGTTCTTCTCCCACTTTCCGTTTCCATATGAGTCTCTTCTAAACCATGGTTTAGAATTCGTTTCGGTAACGTTGTTGTCTTCGGTCCATCCTGAACTGATGTTCTCTAGAAGAACCTCTGGTGTATGAGGGACGACGTTGCTAGTGTTGTAATCTACTGCAGTTGTCGCGGCATTGGTTTTCGTTGTGGATGTCTGTTGTGTATCGAGTTGTTTCTGAAGAGTGCCGACTTGATTATGTAGATCCTCGTTATCGGTCCTCAGTTCAACCATGCCCCGTCTCATGACCATCATCTGATCTACATCGCTAGCGTGCAAGTGTTCGAGAATATCTGTTTCAAAGGAAGCACTTGTTTGCTGTTAAACATTTTGAGGTATCCTTATATCGTATGTTGATTAACGTTTTAGTATAAAAATTTCATTATTCATCCTTATACAATAATGCCTCATTATACTGACACCATTTGGTAAACTAAGTGCCAAACGAAATAAGGGGCTTTCGTTGTATAGTACAAGTGAGCTAAGTTACATATCTATTATATTTGTTTTAACAAGTCACTCATGGTATACTTGAATAAAATCTAATAAACTGATATTAATTAATTATTATCGCTGATGTGTGTGCTTCCTGGCGTATGTTGAGTCGATCAATTATAGAATTTACTAATCATTATAATATTTAAGTGTATATTTACCAATACGTCGAGCGTCTTCAGCCTGTCTGCTTTCTAATTCCTCAACACGCCTAGTTAGGTCCGATGTCAAAGAGGCGAAGTGCTCGTCCAAGTAACTCAGCATAGCAGCCGGAATTTGTAGAGGGGAATTGTTATTGATATTTGCTCCATTTGTGACGGATAAAATTGATACAATAAAGCCAATACAGAAACAATGTTTACGAGACATTGTCGAAAATCTGTTTGCTTAATAGGGTCAAACAGTCTTGTTTCTTGTGATCGACCTGATAAGAACATCCTGTTTTGATTACTTCTATTTGTTAGGTAATATATTCGAGGTTCGATAAAGGGTTTTAACTATTAACACCCCCACAAGTACTTACCTATAAAATAATTCAGTATTTGGTAAAAAAAATTAAAAAAATGCTGAAAGTGTTTTTTGCCTAGTCAAATACTATTATTTAGATTTTAGTTATATATACTTTTTCTTCCACAACTATTTCAGTTACCTTACCCCAAACTCATTAGATAAGCTTGCTAGGAGTTGGTAAACATTTCATTGGTCAATTTTCTAATTATGCCGTTACGTGTCAATGCTTTGCGACTTCATCTTCCATTGTGACGTTATTGTTCATGGTATCTGTTTCCCCAATCGGGAGCAGGAAAAATGAATTCCGAAGAGAAACAGGGGTTTCTGTCTTTAATATCTGATCATTTTGGGAGAAAAAAAGTCCGGGAAACCTCTATGTAACAGTAGAAATGTCGCTAGTGTATTACAAACCAACTAAATGTAATTGCAATTTTCCTTTGCCATTTCTTATGTGAAATATCTTAAATATTAAGTATAGATAATTCACAAAGAATTACAAAGCACTTGTTAATTGGATATTGACACTTGGGAATAGCGCATAGTGAATCTAGGAAACTAGGCTGAGAGAAAACCCATATGTGGTAGGGCATGCAGGTGACCCTATACCTTTTCACGACCGATCGAGTAAACCGAACCCTGGCCGTCTTGTTGGAAGCTCGGGCAGTAAAAACTTATTCAAGGGCATGTGTCATACACTTCAAATAGTGTCACTTGTTAAGCTTAAGTTGGAGACTTTTTAAAACCAGAAATTGAAAAGTAACAAGCATTTAGATATATCAACAAAATGTTGGACTTATTGTTCTTGAGATATGACTAAGTAAAACATCATAAAATAACCGTAACGGCGTATATGTAAATTCACATTAAAATGGTTTTACACAGGAGCGTTTTTCTTTAGATTATTCATTAACTTATTTAAGCATCATGCAGTAGATAATGGGAAATCACAGGTGGTCCAAGCGAAACACGGAAGTAAATAGCTTCAGAAACGTGACAGTCCTTAACTAGGCCAAACAGTCGGGTGATCGATCTGATAAAAACCTGCTCTTCTGTTTACTTTTATATTTCTCTGATGTTTATCACAGGGACCTGATAATTTGTTACAGCTATATTTGGACCTAAACTAAGGTATTCAGAGATATTTTACATGTTTTAGGGGTTTAGATCGACTTTCGATAAAAATGACACCGATCATATAACCGAGAAGGGAGGAAAGCTCTCGATGTCCCTGTTATGTTAGTGAGGCTCATTGAAGGGTTAACTATAACCAGTGTTTCAAGTGCTTTGATAAACATTAATACACAATTTATACTGTTTAATTATTGAGTTGAATCCGATTGAAAATAGTTTAAACATACTTTCAATACTTTGTTCAAGACTGTTTCTTTTTCGTCTATTTATAATGTAAATTTAAATACATGTTTCTTCAGATCATCTGTTCGTTCTTAAAAAAGTTGCCTGTTCGTTTGAAGTTGTTCTGTGTAAAACGCAAAATGTTCCATGTAAAATGTTCTTTTTGTTTAAAATTCCGTTTGTTTCATTTTCGTGTATTTATTGTATGAAAAAAATCTTATTTGACAAATGACATAAGTTCGTTTTATATAACTACCTTGGTTAAAAACATTGTTGTAAAAATATGTGTTTCAAAAACCTATCTGTTTGTTTCATTTTTGTCTGCTATAATCGGTTTAATCAGTTTTGTGAAAACAATAGATTTAAAGTAGTCGTCTGTTTATTGATTTTGTGTGTTAGTCTCTTCTGTCGCTAAGAAAAAGGTTAGCCAGAGAAAAACTTTTTTGTTCATCAGTATCACACACTGTTTACCACGGTAAATTGTGATTATTTGAATTTGTGGTTCAGCCATGCTATTCATCACATGTCTACATTAACACATTTACAGCAATCCATGTTTCCCAGTAAGAATCGCATACTGTTCAAATGAATATCCATTTGAACATTCACCAACAAGTTAATTTTTCCTGAAAAAACCATCCAAGACTAAAATGTGATAAAGGAATGAAGATGGGACATAAATGTAGTCACATCGAGAGTAAAACAAACGATATTGCATTAATTCATTTTTAAAAATTGAAAACAAATCAACCTCTTTGGTGGGACGTTTTAAATATGTTATGACCCATCGGATATTAATGTGGGAAAATCGCCTTTTTATGGTCTTTTTGCTTCTCACCTGTATAAAAGTCAAATAATCAAAGTGCACGATTTTGGCTATCTCAATGGTCAAATTTGAAAAATACAAAGATCCAATATGCAATGTCGTTTTTTAATTTTTTATTCGCTAATAACCAATGTCCATTATCGACTCGGATGTTGAATTTAATATTCGAAACGTCCAACATCCATTTTCTAGGTATTATCTTTCTGGTTATTAAGCATTCAATCGAAAAGAAAAAGGACAAAAATAATTAATTATTTTTGTATTCATAATGATGACATACATGTACATTATTTTTCCGGTCGACAGTTGTAAGTCACGTGACCTCAGGTCTACAGCTAATGAAGCTGGCCAAAAACATTGCCTCTCTAGTTTATTGCATGCCTGAATGACATCGACCATGCAAATAGATTGTGTTCACACATAAATAACATAATACCGACAGAATGATAATGTTACCAAGGAAACAAAAGATCAATGTTTATATAGTAACGTCATAATAGGTTCCGTGCCTATTGACGTATGTGAAGATAATTTACGTACAAGTATAGATGAACCCTTACGCGTTCACCAAGTCGCTGTAATAGAAAATAGATATCTGACTATGCTTTGTTTTTTCTCCCCCTTTTATTGGATTTTTTAAACAAAAAATATTTGTGAGGTAGAATGAACCATAGCATTGTTATAAAACCATGGGGACAGTTCACTCTTCAAAAATGACATTTTTAAGCTATCTTTTTTAATATTTAGTTAATCGTGCTATACTCCTTCAACTTTACTATATCCAGCAAGAGATTTTGAGTTCAAATTGTCATAACAATTGTATATATTTATTGTCATTATTGTAATGTCATTTCAAATGTATATTGGGAGAAGGCGTTGATAAGTTGTTATAACTTGTGCCTAATCCCTTGTCTAATTTTGGCAATAAATATGTTTAAACTAATGATTTCATGTAAATAGACTGAATGATGGTCGAGTTTCTTTCCTTTTTCTGACGTCAGGACCAAATATATATGCAAAGAATCTCACTTTCCAGGAACGTACGTGACATGAACAATAGTTTGTGACATGAACCAGTTCTATCATGGCCTGAACGAAACAGTCCTCATTTCGTAACTGCATGTTTGAAGAGTAAATAGAAACATTGAAATTCATACAATAATTCTATATTAGAGCTACTGACGTCCTGACGCCTATTTATCCTTCTCTGGGCTAAATAATACATTACTTTCTCAAAAACTACCTAAACTGCTCAAATCTTCTTCACCTTCTCAGAGCTATGGTTTCCCGTTCTCATATATATCTCATTTTCTCAGACCTAGTTCAAGTTCTCAGACCTTCCTCACGTTCTCAGATCTATCTCACGTTCTCAGATCTATCTAACGTTCTCAGATTTATCTCGCGTTCTCAGATCTATCTTACATTCTCAGATCTACCTCATGCCCTCAGATCTACTGCACGTTCGTAGATCTACCTCATGCCCTCAGATCTACCTCATGCCTTCAGATCTACTGCACGTTCATAGAACTACCTCAAATCCTCAGATCTACTGCACGTTCGTAGAACTACCTCAGGTCCTCAGAGCTACTGCATGTTTTAGAGGTATGTAACCTTTTCAGAGCACTTTCCGTTTTTAGAACTTCTTCACGTTCTCAGAGGTATTTCATGTTCTCAGAACCTCACGTTCAGATCTACCTCATGCCTTTTCATCTACTTCACGATCTTGAGAAAACTACAGCATGTTCTCAGACCTACCTCACGATCTAAGAGCTCGGGATGGTCGGGTGGCGCAGTGGATAACGCACTCGCCTTTGACTAAGGCAACCAGGGTTCAAAGAACTACCTCAAGTCCTCAAAACTACCTTATGTTCTCAGAAATACCTAACGTTCCCAGAACTGCCTCACGTTCGCAGAGCTACGTTATTTTATCAGAGCAACCTCACCTTATCAGAACTATATCACGCTATCAGAGCTACTTCACGTTCTCAGAACTACTTCACTATCAGAGCAACCTCATTTTATCTGAACTACCTCAAGTTCTCAAAACTACTTGACTTTCAGAGTAACCTCAATTTATCAGAACTACCTCACGTTGTCATAGCTACTTCACGTTCTCAGAACTACTTCACTATCACGGCAACCTCATTTTATCTGAACTACTTAACGTTCTCAGAGTTACTTCACGTTGTCAGAATTATCCCACGTCCTCAGAGTTCCTTCCTGTTCTATGAACTACCTAACGTTCTCAGAGTTACTTCCTGTTCTATGAACTATCTCACGTTCTCAGAACTACTTTACTTTCAAAGCAACCTCATTTTGTCTGAACTAACTTAATTCTCAGAGTTACTTCCTGTTCTATGAACTATCTCACGTTCTCAGAACTACTTCACTATCAGAGCAACACATTTTCAAGAACTACCCGACGTTCTCAGAGCAACTTCACACTCACGTTCACAAAACTACTTCATGTTCCGAAAACTACCTCACGTTCCCAGAACTACCTCATGCTCACAGAAATACTTCACGTTCAAAGAACAACCTCAAGTTCTCAAAACTACCTCACGTTTTCAGAACTGCTTCACTTTATCAGAACTACTCCACATTCTCAGACGTACCACACGTTCTCAGAGCAACTTCACACTCACGTTCGCAAAACTTCATGTTCCGAAAACTACCTCGCGTTCCCAGAGCTACCTCATGCTCACATAAATACCTCACGTTCAAAGAACGACCTCAAGTTCTCAAAACTACCTCATGTTCT